ACAGGGACAGGGAATTGTGGATGAGGACGACGTTGAGTGGGAAGGGAATGGGAAGGGGAAGGGACAGATGATGCGCAAGAAGATGGGGAATGGGATGGAGATCGTTTGGTATCCGCGGTTGGATCATGCGCAGATGTTTGAAAGTGGGGAGAGGTTGAGGCCGGTGTTGGATGTTATCGGGGGGTTGAAGTAGAGTTTTGATGATCCGCGACACGAGGGGGAACCAAAACAAAAGGGTATATTAACGCTCATCCCACTGCACCGCGCTCCTCGCTAGATATCATCCCAAAGCACACAGAAACTCACTCCCAATAAAAAATAAAATAAAAAAAGGAATAACTCAGGCCCTCGAAGGCGGATACTCAGCTTTCCCCCTTCCCCACCCCTTAAGGTGCACTTCCACCGGATGACTCCCACTGCGAATAATCACCCAATGCGTATCCTGCTCCGCCGACTCGTTCAAAGCCTGATATTCTGTCCAAGCCGGGACGGCAGCAAAGTCACCCTGGCCAAGCTCATGCCGTTCCGGTTCGCCGCCTTCGTCTTTGGGCGCTGTCAGGAGCACGCCGTTGCCCGAGGCGACGTAGATGATGGCGTCTTGTTCGCCGTGGTGGCGGACGGTGGAGTAGGAGTCGGGGGAGAGGATGAGGACTTTTTTTATGATGAATATTATTATTTTAGTTAAAAATGGTCAACATGAGTCGATTAGTAGGTAGTAACGAACCCGTTGAGCAAACCTTATCCAACTTGTTGACCACGGCATCTCGGCTGTAAACGCGCACTCGATGGCTCCCTTTCTCTCCGTCGGCCGTTGTGGTGGGGATGACGGGGGGTATTGGTGGGATTATATCGGATTTTCTGGTGACGGAAACGGAAGAGGGTAGGATCATGGGTAGGATGTCGTCGATGATGGGCAGGAGGGAGGCCATGATGGCTATGAAACCCATGTGAATGCGAAAGGTAGGGTGATAGAGGAGGGAGGCTGGGCCTGGGGGGATGAGGAGGTGGGGTCTAGATTTTTTGTTATTCGGAATGGAGAAGCAGTAGGAGGTAGACGGGTTAGATGAATGGTTGGCGCTTAAGGCGGATGATGCATCGTGATCTGTGATAGTAGAGGTAGAGAGGTAGAGGTAGTAGTGTATGCGCTGTGATGGAGTGAACCCCTCCATCCCCTTCCACTTTGCCTGGTGCATGTGATGGGCATCTTGCATTGCAATTGTTAGTACAGTAGCGCTGTAGGCAGCTATAATCGGCGGAACGAGTGTAGCTCACTAACAAAAGACATGTTGCTGCTATCCCTGCTCGCCATGCGTCTGTGTCCCATTGATCGCCGCGAGATCGCCAACACAGAGGTGGGGTAAGCGGAGCGCCTAAGCACTAACAGATAGACGCTAAAATATCATGGACGTCGTCACCATTTCAAAAGCCGACAAAAATTCATTTTCTATTCAGTTTCTTACACCACGAGATCTCTGGACGTGTTCAACTATGGAGGGCAATCTTCCAAACCAGTCGTGGCCTTCGCCATGGCATCACATCCTGCCGTCACCTTCGCAGCAGGGGACGGACAACAACCTCAACGCCCCTGCTGCTACCTCTACCGCCGCCGCCAACGACGACCCCCATCACCGCCAGACGCCTAGGTTACACGCAGAACCGCTGGACTTGGACGCTTATACCTATACCCCCGAAAGCCAGTCCTTCTGCTCGGCTACTACAGAGGCCAATTCGGAGCGCATGGCAGAATACATGGCGTCGCAACAACGTCGGCATCCCTTCTCTCCCCTCCTCTCTATACTGGCTCGAGTCGATACTGACGAGAGGGACGTCGCAGATGAAGTCAATAATACCTCACCCGAACAAACAAGCCCCCTCGTCCATCTCCCTCCCGAACTCCTCGAAGGCATCTTTGACCACCTCTCTGCCATCGACCTGGTCGCTGTCTCGGCCACCTGCCGTCATCTGCGCACCATCGCCACGTCCGAGTTTCGCTGGCAAGGCCTCGTCCAGGAAAACGTGCCCGGCTACCGAGTAACCTCCTGCTACCCCTACACGTCGTTCCGCCAGCTCTACAAAGCCCACGACCCACGCTGGTTCCTGCCCAAATACAAGATATGGTTTGCCGACGACAGCCTCTACGGCCGTCTGATCATCGCCCGCTTCGACCAGCGCCGCGGCTGCATCGAAGGCTACCAGCTCGTCGCCTCGGTGCCCAGCCACCTCTGGGACGACGATCTTCTGGTTAACGACCACCCGATTCGCAAGCACGACTTCCGCGTGGGTCTACACCTGGATCATCCCGTCTTTCATCTCGATCCCGAAAACCAATCGCCCGAAAGCGACAACGCCACGGTCCGATCCTGGCAAGAACTCGATTCCGAACGCTACAAAGACGACCCAAGCAGACCCAAACCACACTTCAAAGTCGAAGTCCGCGCCCAAGGCGGCTCCTCCCTGTCGGCCGGCTCCCGCAGCCGTTCCTTCCACACCAACTTCTTCCTCGCCAAAGCCCAACGTCTGCACAATGTCATCCACGACGCCGAAGATCTCATGGACGCCCACGACGTCCGCGACCTGCTCCATGCTGACCTCAGCCGCTCCCTCTCTCCGCGGGACTACCTCATGCGAAGTGCCATTCCGGGCATTGGAGGCGGCGACGGCCTGCGCAACGCAGTGCCCCACCACGGCATGATGACCATCCTACGCGACAAGTATTGGCCGCCGCCCACGATCGAGGCTCCCCATAGAGTGGCCAACGTTGGGCCGGTGGGTGTGCACGGGGGTTATAACGCCGAGGCCACGTCCAAGATTCTGCAGAGCCCACCTGCCACCCGGGCGGAGATCAGCGATCATGCGTTCCACTTGAGGAGGTGGGTGGAGTTTGGAAGGGTGATGCGGGCGCATATTGGCGAAGAGCTGGTGACGTATTCGACGCTAGATGAGAAATTGTATACACCCACGCCTGAGAAGCCATACAGGGGGATCTTTGTGGGACATTATGGGCCGCATGGGTGCGAGTTTATTTTGATGCATCAGCCTGACGATGATCCGAACATACAAGATGCAGAGATTGAAAGGCGGGAGAATGAGACGGATGAGGAGTTTCAGAAGAGGACTCAAGAGTCCAAGATTTATAAGGGTGGGTTGGCGGGGATCAAGCTTACTGGCGACCCGAATGTGCCCAGGGGGGAGTATACCTTTGTCGCAAAGGACATTGGGGAGGAAGGGTTTGTCAAGGTTGCAGATGAAGAGGAGTTTCGAGGGGCAAGGGTAGTCAAGGCCAAGGGCCATGTGGCCGAACATAACTTTCGGGATGGTAAGTGCTTGTTTCTGAGTCCTTAGTATCACATCCATCTGCTGGAAGAGCAAGGGGGAGGGAGTGCTAACGACCAAACAGACGACTGGATAGACTGCGACCTATTTTTGGCCTCCCACAATACGTTGGCCCTCCACTGGCACCGATGGGATATGACGAGCGTTTTTGAGAGGGTCGATATTGACAAGTTCATCGTTCCCGAGTGAGTATGTTTTGCGTAACTACGTACCTTGCTGCTAGCGATGATTTTGTTTTGCATTTCGAAGCCTGTTTTGTCTCGGTGTCACGGCACGGTAATGACTTACGAGGCAATGGTAGGTTGTTTGATGGGCCATGGTTTATGTTGTGAAGTTGAGGAATGTTCACATGAGGGTTGATCATGATTATGAAGTGGGTTGCAGGGAAAAGCCACAGGACTGGCGACTTTAAATAAAGGATGTTTGTGGGACTACGACTGGATGACCTGGGTACACATTTGGACGGCGTTTGGGGGGGGTCTTCCGGACCGCTGGGCAGTACTTTAGGAGTGTATATGGGTCAATACAAACTTGACGTCTCATGTCATACGGGGTAAGAAAGATAAAGTCCAATACCTAGAACAACAGCAAAAAGCTACTACATACGGTGTTGTTGTCTTGTTCCCGCTGTGATGTTCATGATGCCGCCGCCGACTTCCGTAGACGTTAACATTGGCTGCTTACCGATAACCGCGCCCGCCCCGGCCCCTACTTTACCGTTCGTACCCCTGCTTTCCTTCCCAGTCGTCCCAGCGGTCATAGCGCCAAGACAAGCGCTGAACGAGGTCAGCGGATGCAACGCTACAGGACCCGCCCAATGGACCCCCTGACGTCAAGCGATCCATCCCCTACGTTAACGGCAATTGACGGGTCAAGCAGGCACTTCTTCTACTTTTGTTCCAAACCAAGCACCTTGTTGGCCACATGCAGCCAGTCATCCAGTCAGCCAGCTATGCTTCCCATTCCCATTACCCAACGCGATTCAGGTACAGGTACGATAGCTAGCTAGGGTAGGTAGGTACCATCTTGACCGACTGTCACTTGACTGACTGGACTGGTTGTAGTACGCAGCACGCAGGTCGGCAGCATGTACGAGCTGCGTGTCTTGTGGAAAGTGGCTGGACTGGATTGGATTGGATTATCGGGGAACTCGTGACCACTTGTTGATCTGTTTGTTTGTTATCGTGCGTTATACCGACGACGGCGGTGTGTGGACGCGCCGGTAGGTAGGTCACGGTAGGCAATGATAACGAGCAAAGGTAACAGGAAGGATTCTGGGAAAGTCTAGAAGTCTGGACGAGAAGTGGTGATCTTTCCACTTATAGGTACAAGTACAACAAGTCTTGCCCTTCCAACTTGCTCTGGTTGTTCTACCTCCACCTAACTTGTGGGACTTCTTGCTTGTTTCTCCGTCTTGCCTTTCTTTTTTTGTTGGCGAATTCTGTCTCGTTCGTTTTCCTTCCTACCTCCATTCCTTTGCCAGCAACTGAACCAGTCAATGCGTGTATCCTCATCGTTGCTGGCGCTTACATCCGGTTCTCGGTGAATAGCTGACGGAACGAAAGATACGGCACTCGGACGAAGACCGATGATATAATAGACGACGACATCGACATACATAACCAGCACAGACAGACAGCTGTACAGCTTGCAGGACCTCACACGCAATGGCTTCTGCACGGCCTGCCGCCCGCCTCGCAGGCGACCTTCTCCGACTTGCACCTCGCCGACCTACACCACTAGTACCTACAACACCAACGACAACCGTCTCGAACTCATGTCGCTCCTTTACGATACGCACCCGCTTTCTTCACGACCGTGCCTTTTCTGTTCCTACTACGCCGAACCCCAAAAAACCGCCGAAACATGATGCTCCTCGAGGTCCAAAGGATCGACAAACCCGAACCCCTCCCCGACAAGCGCGCGCCGCGCCCACTAGTCTGGCCGTAGGCGCTGGCGTTGCTGTCTTGGCTTCCTACCTCTACAACCGTGATCGCGAACATGACAACAAGAGCAAGACAAAAGTTAAGCTCAATAGCAACCAGACCGGTCGAGACAAGGATCCAGATAAAGTACCACTACCACCGCCCTCTCCAGAGGAAGAAAGTTCCCAACGACCCAACGAAATCACCGACGACCTCCGTGAACCCCTCTCTCGCCCCCGCTACCGCCTCTCCGAAATCCGATCCCAGCACTCCTCTACCTCCAACACTCCCTGGGTCACCTACGCCGACAAAGTCTACGACATCACATCCTGGGTCGGCGCGCACCCAGGCGGGGACGTGATTCTGCGGGCGGCCGGTGGTCCAATCGAGCCGTACTGGGACATCTTCACGATCCACAAGACCTCGCCCTACGTCCGCGACATTCTGGAACAATACTGTATTGGGTATATCCACGTGGAGGATCTAGACCCCGTGACAAAAAGGCCAAAGATGGACAAAATAGAAGACCCGTTCGAAAAAGATCCCGAGAGGGATGAACGGTTGGTGACGCATACGGCGAAGCCGCGGAACGCCGAGACTCCGTCCGACTTGGTGGGAGCAGACTTCAAGACGGATGAAAATGTGTTTTATGTGCGGCATCACATGTGGGTACCTGTTGTGGATGATGCCCTAAAAGAGAAGCATGTTCTCAGCGTGGAGTTGCCGGACGGAGAGACACGGGGCTACACCCTCAAGGAGTTGAAGGAGAGGTTTCGGAGACACAAAGTCACGGCCACGCTGCAGTGCTCGGGCAACAGACGGAACGACATGACGCGCCACGCGGGCAAAACGAACGGGTTACAATGGGGCGTGGGCGCTATCAGTAATGCGGAGTGGGAAGGCGTATTGTTAAGGGATGTGTTGAAGGATGCAGGGTTGAAGGTCGCCGACCCATCTACTGCTACTGCCGTTCCGGTCCAGCCTTCTTCCTCCCCATCCTCCAACTCTGACAGCGGCGACGACATCCCCTCCCAAAAGGACCTCCATGTCCAGTTCTCCGCCCTTGAAGCTTACGGCGCCTCTATCCCCTTGTCCAAAGCCCTCGATCCTACCGGTGATGTCCTCCTCGCCTTCGGCATGAACGGGCGCGCTCTGCCTCGCGACCATGGATTTCCTCTAAGGGCCATCGTACCCGGTCATGTGGCTGCTCGCTCGGTCAAATGGTTAAACAAGATTGTAGTGTCGGACGAGGAGAGTCCGAGCCAGTGGCAACGGAGAGATTACAAAAGCTTTGGTCCGAATGAGGGCGCGAACCCGGATTGGGAGCGGGCGAGGAGTATACAGGAGATGCCCGTCACGTCAGCAATTACGGGAGTTTGGGTAGGGAGTGATTGTTTGAAGGGCAAGTACCAGAGCGATGATAATAAGCAAAAAGAGACCACCGTCGATTTGGCGGGTGTAGATGGGCTGAAGGTTGGGTGCTCCAAGACTGCTACCACCACCATTGCTACCCCATCCCCATCCTCCGTTGAAACCAACCCCCAAATCCCCATCACCATGCAAGGCTACGCCTACTCAGGCGGCGGCCGCGCAATCGCCCGTGTGGACGTCTCCCTCGACAACGGACGGACATGGGATCAGGCAGAGCTGATTGACGATTGTAACAACCCTGCGACTCCCTCCTACGGCAACAAAACGTGGACGTGGAAGCGGTGGAAGTATTCCAGCCATTTACCCCCGGCTTCTTCTTCTTCTATCGTTCCCAATCCCAATACCACCACGACGAACGCCAGCGAGGAGGGTAGTATTAAGGATGATAAAAATCAAAACTGCACAACCTTGATAGTCAAAGCTATCGATGAAGCCTACAATACCCAACCCGAGTCTCACGCCGGGATATATAACGTGCGAGGTAATTTGGCTACGGCATGGCATCGCGTGAGGATTTGTCCGGAGTGTGTTACTTGTCCCGATGGAGAAGGAGGAAGAGGAGGAGGGAAGGGGGTCAAGTGGGTGACGAGGAAGGTGGTTGGGTGTGGGTTTGAGAAGGAGGTTGAGGAGGCAAGGGAGAGGAAGGAGGGACAAGGGAAGGAGAAGGGTGAGCGGTAGGTCAGGGAAGTTTGGGAGGCAAGTGTGTGATAATTAATTGAAAATGGGATGGATGGGTAGTGTAATGAGGTGTTTGGGAGTGATGAAAGGGCATTTATTTGCTCGTGGACTGATTGATTACGGTTATGATTTTGCAAGGAAGGAAGCATGAAGGGCCCTGAGATCTGGAGCGGGCAAGCAAGGGTCCAACGAGGCTTGGCTGTTTTGGGTATACCGGAACTGACAGCGAGACTGGGTTATGGAGTTGAGGTAAACGTCATGGCATTGATCATAGAGTAGCATCTTTTTAACAAGTAATGTTTAAGTTCTCTCGTATGGTATGAGTATGGGTTGAGGATTTCAGCCTACCTAGGTAAACACGTTCATGAACTCGAATTAGAACACAGACAACCTGTTGACGACAAGAACTTCACAAGTCACGACTGGGCACTTATCAGAGTGTAGAAGGCTCAGTAAGGAAAGCAATAACATAAACTGATATCTAAAACGAGAAAATAAACTAACGTACCAAGAGAAAGAGATGAGAGATAAATAGCTGATAAACCAAACCGTAAGAACAAAATTGAACCGACAAACGCCATCCATCCATCTCCAAACCAAAGACCAAATCCGTTTACCTACATCCTCACTTACTCACATTTACTCTCCAAAGACCTACTAAACTATAGAACCAGGATACTCCCGCGCCAACGCCTCCAAAGTCTCATCCGTTACTCTTCCCGGCGGTCCCGGCCGTTTCCTTTTCTCCTGCCTCTCCTCCTCGCTCACACTCTCCTCCTCCCTCACACTCTCCTCCTCTCTCACACTCTCCTCATTCACACTCTCTACCGCCTCCATCGACCCATGGATCTTCAACCTCTTCACCATTGCCCGCTCATTAGCCAACCTCTTCCTTTCCCTTTCTTCTTCTTCTTCCTTCTCCTGCTGCCTCCTCCGCTTGAGCCGCTTAATGTACTCCAGCTCATCTAATTCTGCATCCATATCCGGCAAAAAGGGGTCGTTGTCGTTGTCGTCGTCCACGTTTTGTAATTTCCGCTGCTCATATCGTGCCAGCCTGTAGTCTTCCATTTGTCTCTCCTGTCTTGCGAGTCTGGCTGCTTTGAGTTGGCCTTCTATGATGCGCTGGACTTCTTCTTCTACGTCCACTTTTGGTTTTTTGGGTTGGTATCTTTTGATGCGTTTCTTGGTGTGGGGGTCGGAGCGGGAGCGGGAGCCGTAATGGGAATAAGGTTGGGGTTGAGAAAGGGGGGATGGGGATTGGGGTTGAGGGGATTGAGGGGGTTGAGGAGGGGGTTGAGGAGGGGGTTGAGGAGGGGGTTGAGAGGGTTGGAGAGGGTCAGAAGACGTGCCTTTGCCGAAGAGGCGGGGGTTGGGAGAGAGAGAGACTTTGGGACGAGTACGCCCATGAGCACGGCCGCGGCCGCGAGAGCGAAGCTTAGATGGGGTGGAGTTGGTGTTGGTGTTGGACTCGTTGCCGCCGCCGGAGCCGGAGCCGGAGGGAAGTTGCATCATTTTGGCGCTTAGACCTCTGCTCCGGGTGCCGGTAGAAGTGGGGGAGTCAGGCGCGTGGAGGACCTTGACTTTCATTGCTTTGAGGGCAGGCAACGGGTTAGTCGGGGGTCTTTCTTGATCGTCTGCTTCTTGGTCTTGGTCTTCTGGGGCGGTGGCGCTCACGGGGCTTTGTGCTTCTTCTTCTTCTCCCGCTTCTTCTTCTCCTTCTTCACCACCCTCCTCCTCCTCTTCTTCCGACTCGTCGGCATCATCCACAGCGGCGGCTTGCTTGGCTTTGCCTCTGGTGGTTACACCACCACGCGCGGCAGCCTTCTTAGGAGCTGCCTTCTTCTTGCCCTTCTTGGGCTCTTCGTCAGAAGCTTCCTCATCCTCAGAGCTCGACGTCGTGGCGTCCGAGTTTGGTTCCCTGATGCCATGGATGGTCGGTACAATCTTGGGCGGGGCCCGGAGAATGACTTTCTCAACGAAGGAGCCCTGTGCTGCCGCGGCTGCCTTGGCTGCGGCCTTTTGGGCTGCCGCTGTCAGGGCGAGGGTTTTGGCAGGCCTGGGCGGTTTGGCCGTGGAGTTCTCGGTTGTTGGTGGTGGCGTAGGCTCCCTTTCCTCTTCTTCCTCTTCTTCCTCTTCTGACTCGTCAACTACTTCATCACCGGGAAATGTTACAACCTCATGTGGCTGGGGCCAGAGTGAGATATCAAGTGGGTCGGCGGCTGTGGTTTGTTAGTTGGTGATTCTGACCCAAAAATACGCAAGACGGAACAATGAGAAAATTGGGGAAGACATACCAACATCCGAGACATCAGACTCATCCGAATGGTCCTTCGGAGGTTTGTAACTAGGGTCCTCCGACTGGAACGGCGCCAGCTTCTTCTTGCCTCCCTTGCCCGTAGGCCTAAACGAAACCTTTGGCACTTTGACTTCCGGCTCTGCCACTGTCTTGGTTTTCTTGGCTGCCGATGGGCGCGGTACGCTTTCATCATCTGCATGCTTGTTATTAAATCTTGCTGCTGAGACCGACAGTATAAAAAGACTCTTACCAGACATGAACTCCGAAGAATGATCTGATGGATCCCAACTCCAAGTAGGTTTATAGGTAGGGTCGTCTGACGTGAAAGGGGCCCGCTTTCGTTTGCCTCCTGCACGCGCGGGTCTGTCAAACAAGATTGTTAGCTCAAGAACAATTTTCACACATCAAACAGTGATATAAAAAGAAAACACAAACTCACCGTTTGCCAGCCTTCTTCCCAGCCGGCTCATCCTCCGACGGAATCGACAAATCACTCATCTCCTCATCCTCATCTTCCTCCTCCTCCTCCTCAGGTTTCACCTCCTCCACCACATCCGCAAACCTCGCCTTCTTCGCAGCAGTCTTCGCAGCGGTAGTAGCCGGTCCCGGGCCGCCTTGTGTGACATTTGCAAACAGGCCAGCAGGAACGACAGTCCCCATCGTCAAATCCGTTGCCCCAGCAGGTCCAACCCTCTCCCCCTTCCTCGCCCTCAACGGCTGCCTCCCCCCGGTCGCCGCCGACCTCCCCTGCCACTGCTTGAGTGGGATCACGCCCTGTGGCACATCCACGCGCGCCGTCTTTGCGCCATTGGGAATCCCGTAGTAGTAAGCACGGCTGGATACAGGGTGAATGGGGCCAAACGTCGTCTTGTCGTCTTGCGGCTTCCTAACGCATGAATCAATGTGTCGCTGCGCCGCTACGCTGTCGACGACCTTGGTTCCGTCTGCAGAAGTAGTCATCTCCATCTCCAACCCGCACCAGGGACAGAAGCGGACGTTGAAGGAGCTGCTGTTGTGGCCTTTGCCGCCGCAGTGGCCTCTGCAGAAATGCGCGTGTTTCTCGCGGTCGGCGATTTCGAGCCTGCGCAGCTCGAGACCGCACTGCGCGCAGAAATCAGGCTTGATGCCTGGCCCACGAGCAACGTCGGGGTGCTTGTGCGCTTTGGCTGAGGACGGGTCGTCGGTGTTGATGCGCTGGCCGCAGACGGTGCAGGACTTCCACGGGTGAATCTCGTGATGGGCGGCGCCGGGGTAGCAGACGAGGTCGTGGTGGAAGCGGTCGAGTTTTGCAGACAAGACCGAGTGGTCACGGCCGCAGCGGCAGCAGAAAAACCAGGACAGCTCGCGCTTGAACTGGAAGGGGTTGGGGTGGTCGTCGTAGGAGGCGGCGTTGACGGGGCGGCTGGTTTGAAGGGCGCCGAGGATGTCGGCGTGCTTGGAGGCAAAGTGCTGGAAACGCTGGGCGACGGTCCAGTGCTGGTAGAGAGGGTCGTGGCAGAAGTTGCACTTCTCGGCGGTGTGGGCGGCTTTAATGTGTCGCGCCATGAGGCCGCTGCCGAAGGGGAAGGCGGCGTCACAGCCCGGGAAGTGACATTTTCCCTCGCGTTCGAGCATGATGGTGCGCAGCTCAAAGTATTTTTGTTGGAGAAGGCGAACTTCCGAGGGCGTGAGGACGCCGTTGGCCAGACGCGGGGTGTTATCGAACTTGCAGTCTAGGAGCTGGTCGATGGGAGGGATGTGGACAGGAATGCCCTTAACAAAGTCCACGGTGAGCGGGTTGGCATAGCTGAACTCCCGAAGGAAGCGGCCCTTTTCGCTCGGGTTCATGGCATTGATGTCCAGTTTGCTTGAAGCACTGAAGACGCCCGTATGGGTGGGACGTGGAGGTGGCAGGTTGGAGGCGAAACCCATCGGATTTGGGTTATGTTGATTTACCGCTGTCTGTGGTGTCCGAGACTGTTGAGAAGCAGTAGTACCAGGGACAGGCCGAGGCTGGTGGTCTGATGGCTGGATAGTCCTCAGTTCGCCATGACTCCAGGGCACTTGTTCAGCCCAGAGCTGGTAGTCACGACCAAATCGAAGAATGTTCCCGTTGGGAAGATCATCCTTGTTATTGAGACTGCTGTAAAGAAGATTGGCGTTCGTTTTGTAGATATCGCGGTAACCAAAAGGCTGGGCGAAGATATCACCAAACACTGAACAACATGTTAGCAAACTGCTTTCAGAAGCAAACTCTGGAGAGTGCTTACCATCAAACTGATCATCATAGACCTGCACAACCAGCTCCGGCCAAACAATCATATCCCGAATCTTGTACCACTCCAACTCCGTGGTAGTATGCAGCACCACCAACATCGGCGCGCCGTCGAGCTCATTCTGCGTCAGTCTCACCCTTGAGCTCTCAGCATAGTAATCAACCGAGTACCTTCCGGGGATCCACAACTCCGCAATCAGCCTGCGGAACTCCGCGAGGCTCGTCTCCCTCGGATTCCAGTCCAACGACTGCTCAGTATCCTCATCGCAGACCAGGGCATGGTCCCAATACACCGGCTGCAGCGTGATGAACTGCGGGAACATGTCCACGCCGTTCTTAGCTGGCGGCACACCCGGCTTCTCCTTCAGCCAGTTATACCACTGCTCAAGCAGCTCAGCAACGCGTTGGACGCCCTGCTTGTCCAGTTTGCCGGTTGAGTCGACGGAGATGAGCACCTCCGACTGTTCCCGCGCATCGGCGAGGAACGACTCGCCGGGGAGGTGTACCTCGATGTGCTTGAGGTCCTGCACCTGTTCTAAGCCGAGACCGGACTCAAGCATGTTGCTAATCTTGGCGTAGACGCGCTTGGAGTCCTTGAACTCGGAGTGCAAGATTGCGCAGTCGTCGCTGTACACATACGAGACGCCGGGCACGAACAGGTGCCAACGGTCGAGGTGTCCACTAGGTGACTCGGAAGTCCACGCCCGCAGCACGATCGGTTGGTTACGCGAGTCCTTGTGGGCTTGCAAGATGGAAGTCCATTGGTTGAAGTTGAAGGTCAACCCGCCGTACGTGCCGTAGGCATTGTCTTTGCCGCCGTTGCGAGGGTCGAACGTAGTTTTGACGCCAATGTACACATCGGGAACAAAAGGATGGCCGGGACGGTTGGGGATGCGGCCGGCGCACAAAACACGACAAGCTTGTGTCATCCAGGGAGCAAACTGGTTGGTGTGCACATCCGCCGCTGACGGGTCTCCGACGATAGGCATGCGGAGGTAGGCGACGTCCGGACGGTTCATGTCCGGCATGCCGTCCCACTCAAGAACCAGCTTGGCGACGTTGTGCATGTTGGCCGGCTCCCATTGATAGGGCACGGGATCACCGGGACCAGCGACGAAGAGCACCTTTTGGTGCGCCAGAGGCGATCCGCTGGTGTCGTCGCCCAGCGAACCAAGGTGTCCGACGACCCAGTTCCAGGCAATGTAGTCGTTGCTGTAGTCGCCAGGTCCTTTGCAGGCGACTTCGAGAGAGTTCCTGTCGTTTCGCAGGAAGGCCTCCTTTTGGGCTCGGGTCTTGTACTCCTTGTTTCTGTCGAACACGTAGAGCTTGTACGAGGCACCAGCTCGGACGCCAAAGCCCAAAAGACGATCGACAGCGTCAACAAAGGTGTTGAGCGTGTCGATACGGAACCAGACAATGCCCTGGTAACCGTAGAGTGGGATCCACAGATTCTCGAACCCGCCTCTCTCACCTTCAAGACGGCTTTTAAGGCCCTCCTTGTGGTGATCAGTCTGCGCAAAAGCAAAGAAAGCCTCGGTGGAGAGGCGGTGTTTGCCGCGGTCGATGTCTTTGAAGACGCCGCCGATTTCCTTGAGAGGACCTCCGCCGCGAAGAGAGACGAGGGCGTTTTCTGGGGACGGGACAAGATCCACGGGCTCATCAAGATCGTACTCTTCGTCCTCGTCGACGGCGTCGTCGACGTCTTCATCTTCTTCATCCTCATCATCAAAATCACCACCGCCACGCAGGCCGATGCTAAAGTCGAACCTATCCGGCATATCTACACGCAACGCATCAGCGTTTATGTAGTCTCCCTCAGGATCGAGTTCCTTAAGTGTGGGCGGGAACTTAGGCAGAGCGTTATACGTCTCCAGGACCGGATCCGGTTCTATTTTTACATCAACCGTTAGCAGCACATTCAAACCGGTAGGTAGGCAGAGACGACTCACCTCGAACAGCATCTTTCTCAAAAACCCTCTTCCCATAACAATTCAAGAACTTGATCGGATCCTCTCTTGGCCTCCTGACAATATTCCCCATATCATCCTCTTCCTCATCATACCCCGGCCCACCGTACCCCGCTTCGCTCTTAACACCACCACTCATCTGCTGCTGCTGCTGCTGCTGCTTCTTCTTCTCCCACCATCTCCTCGTCTCGCTCTGTTCCCACCCCATCGGTGCGACCGGCAATCCAAAGTACAAACAAGTCAATTTAAACGCTAGATCGGCCTCCTTTGCCCACCCTTCGTTGTTGTCCCCCTTTTTCTGCCAACCCTTCACCTCCCCCTTGACCAACCTCTTGTACCTCTCGCTGTTCTTCCCCTGCAACTCGGCCAACACGGGATTCTGCTCCCAATCAGCTGGCAGCAACAAGTCCCGATCCTCGGGACTGAACCGCGACTTGAGCAGCTCGTTCAGGGTAGAGGTGGGCGAGTCCAGGTGGGTGCGGATGGAATACAGAATAGTTTGGAAGGCGTCAGAGTGAGGAGTCACGGTGGGGTCGACTCGCCGAAGGGAGGCGAGGCGGAGCTTGTTGTCGTGTTCTTCTTGCGCTTTGCGCTGGGCGAGAGCGGCTAGGCGTTGGTCACGCTTTTTGATGGCGAGTTCTGTAGGGGAGAGGGGAATGGCTGGGGTAGGGCGCTGGAAGTTGAAGGAGGCGAGGTTGGAGGGATCGGTGCCGAAGAGGCGGGAGCCGTAAGGGTTTGTGATGGGAACGGACTTGGAGCTGTCCGCGGAGTCGATGGCTTTTTGGATGGTGGACTTGGTGGACTTTTCCAGGTTACCTGTTGAGTGAGCTCTGGGCTTGGTGACGCGGTTGGTGGGTTTGTTGGCGTTCTTCGGGCTCTTGCTGTTGCCTTTTTTCTTGTTGTTCTGGTTCTGATCCTCTGTGCGGTTCCGAAAGAAGGGAAGTCCCCAAGGCATGATGGTTGTTCCCGCACTCGTTTGGGTTCGGACTAGGTCTTCTACAGATGTTGTAGATGAGCCTAGTCAAACCGCACTGACAACTTTTGATGATTTGTTTACTTGTTGCTGTTGCTGTGATCAACGATGAGGTTCGTTTATGAACGGCGTACAGCTTAATTGACGAATGGAGGAAGAAAAGAAGAGAGAAAAAGGAAGAGAAGGACATTGAGGGGAAATGGTGATTGTAGGGGGTAAACAACCATTTCAAGGCATCACATCGGACAAAGAGACAAACGAGGGCATTATTCTTCCCCTTCATCCTTTGGCCCCCTTCGAAAACAAGTGAAGGCGTTTGCGTTTCTGAAAGTGGGTGGCCATTGAAGGGTAAGCTGTACTGCTGGTAGTTTCGGTGGGTCATGCTTTAGCTAGAGGTGAACTTCTTTGTCTAAAGTCAAGGACGGGCACCTTCGAGGGAGAGCTGGAGTTGCTGCATGCGAACATTGTGAACCTGGGAGACAAAGAAACAGGCCGGCAGCTCGAACCAAGCATTGACAACCAGGTGTGTTTTGTTTGCTCCGGAATGGGCAATTGACACTTGACCAATCCGTCGGCGAGGAGAGAGAACAAAGCCATCATTGTGTCGAGCTCTCGTTGCGACGGGAACGTCGTCGTCCTCACATCAGTCAGTGGACTGTGACCGAAGGGGACAACTTGTCTGTCTCTCTTTCAGGTCCCGGCCAATTGCTGACTAGACCCCATGGCTTCATGGCAGCTGAAGTAAGAGATTGAAAGAGAAAGGAACAGGAAGTCAAGGAATCAATAAGTCGCGAGTGTTGTGGGCTGACAATTGGATTCTCTCCAGCTTTGTCTGTGGTGTTGATGTTTGAAGAGTGGAAAAGTCGATGCACGGATGAAGCTGCGAGGGAGAACACAGGTCTGTGCTTGGCGGCGGCAAACAGTACGCTAACCCTAACCCCTGGTCCAGCATCATCATCAACAAAGTGACAAAGAACATGGACACATCTCGACATCCCAGCAATTTCACTGCCTCAAGTTAAAAGCGGAGAGTAAAAGGATAGCATTTCAAAGGATGAGTCTCAGTCGTTGTATGAATAGCTATATGAGCCCAAGCAAATACGTAGGAGTGAGTGGTAGACAGCGAGGGACGGACAACGTGTGAAGACATCAAGGGTATCTCAGGCAAGGCATGGATTCACAAGCTCTTCACTGGAATGGGAGCAGGTAATCGTGTCACTAATGCTCGAGGAATGAATATCCTACTCAAGTTACGGAAGATCAAACACCAAGCTGAGGAAACCGCCTTTTCCGCTATTTCAACCCTCGATTTGCTTCCATTTGCACTGCATCATACCCATGTCATGCTTCCTTTGTATCCTCATTTTCCACTGGATCCCTTGCGCTCATGACTTTTCCGTCTTGCAAATGACTGACACCCACAAGAGCCCGACTAACGTACAAAAAAAACTAAACGCCTGACTACAAACGTGAAAGCTTGAATCACTCCCTCTTAAACCCTAGGACTCATTGCGGAATTTGGTCTCTAATCATCATCCGCATAGCCCGGTGCTCCTCCCGGCGTAGGGGCACCCAGGGCACCCGGTGTCGGCGCACTCACAGCATCACCGCCACTTCCCCAGCCACCCTGCCAGGCCCCAGGAGTGGGCGCGCTGACAGCAGCCGGCGTTGGGGCTGAATACGCACCAGGTGTAGGAGCGTTGAGTGCCGCGCCGGGAGTGGGCGCGCTTAGACCGCCACCAGGCGTGGGCGCATCGTAAGCTGAGGATGAGTTACCGCCGCCTGAAGCACCGGGCGTGTAGCCCCAGGTATCGCCGCTAGCCCCAGGCGTAGGAGCAGAGGCACCGTAACCGGGCGTTTTGGAGCCCCAGCTGTCAGAGCCGGCCGACCAGGCGGGCGTCTTGGAGCCATGGCCGAAGCTGTCGGGGGCGGGGGTGCGAGAACCCGAGTGCCACGCCGGAGTGCGGGATCCGATGCCACCGTAGGCGGTAGCGCCACCGTAAGGAGTGCGGCTGCCGTCGTAGGGATTGACGGTACGGGAGCCGTCGTTCCAGGCCGGCGTACGCGAGCCGCCAGCGTCGCGGTTCCAGGCAGGGGTACGGGCTGTGGCTAGTGACAATGTTAGCTTCATGCAAACAGTGATAAGAAAACATGACAACAGAAAACTTACATCGAGAAGAGCCCCACGCCGGTGTACGATCCGATCCGCCTGAAGCCATGGGGGTCCTGCTTCCAAACTCGCCGCCACCGCGTCCTCCTCCACCAAAGCCACCACGGCTGCCACCGCGCTGGTTGATGTCAATGGTCTTGCCAGTGACCTTGTCCTTGAAGCTCAAATCAGCCTTGGGAATGGTGATAATCTTTCCCCTGGAGTGCAGCTCCACACGAGCATGAGTGTCCGTTGTGTCCTTGACGATTCCGAGCAAGCCCTTGTAACCACCGCGTCTAATAACCACGGTTTGGTTAATGGCCCGATCAGGTCCGAAGGTTCGCGGAGCTGGCATTTGCTTGCCGCTGGCAGCGGGGTTGCGCTTCAGGGCTGGGTTCATCGCACTGAGATCTGGGCCCGCAGTAGCAGTGTTGCGACCACCCTTGGCCGCGACCGTGGTGACGCTGTTAGCCCGGGTGACGAAAACACCAGCATTCTCGTTGGTGGTTGTGGTGTGAAGGAAGATGTACGAGCGATGAATGTGAATGATCTTGCCCTGGCGTTGCTGGCCACCATATTCACGGACCACGTCGTCCAGCCTGATTTCGGAGCCGTTGCGGTCAGCAGCCACAGCGAACTTCCTCTTGGGGAGCTTGTTGGTGATTTGCGACGGCTGGACCTGTTTGGTATCGCCGTTCTGGTCGAGCACCACGACTGACTCGCGATCAACCTTAACGATGCAGCCGACAGTCGTAGCATCCAACTGCACAAGATCTAAGAGGGAGTACTGTCCAAGAGAGCCTTGGCCACCAATATCTGATGCCTCACGCAGGTCTTTGCTGAACACGGTGATCTCCGTGTTGGTCTGATCTGTAAGGAGCGTGACTCTGTCGTCCACGATCTTGACAACCATACCAACTTCGTCACGGAACCGGCTGCCACCAATGACCTTGACGTGGTCACCAATCCTGAACCTCTTGCGCAGACCCTTGTTGGGGACGTCGATGGTCCGGCCAGCAAGATCACCCTCGGTAACCTGCAATGTGACAATGTCGCCTTGAACATTGGTGGCCTTGCCGATAACACCCTGCTGCTCGCCCTCATACACCTCGATGATATCACCAGGAACATACGCGACACTCTTGGCGCTATCCTTGAGAGTAGCAGCAAGAGCCTTAAGATCGAGGTTCTCTGTACCGTCCTCGGCTCCACTGGCGAACTTGGTAACCTCCTCCAACGTAGGGTTGACATCCTTGACCTCGAGCTGCTGGATCTTGATGTCCTTCACCTGGAAACCGTTCTCGAAATCATCGCCGTTGTAGTTCCAGCTGTTGGTCTGCGGGTTCCCCTGGAGGTAACGGGGGTGTCTCTTGCGCGCCTCGGCTTCACTGAACAGACGCTGGGGAGGACGAGGGCCGGGCACACCAGGGCGCTTGCGCTTGCCATCGGCCTGGAAGACGGGGTCATCCCTGACACCGTAGTCGAGTCTGGGAATGAAACGAACTCTGGCCTCGAGGCCGTTTTCTGTAACGTCGATAACCTGAGCAAGATCACCGACGTGCTTGGCCGGCTTTTTGAGACGAACCCAAGCGCCGGGCTCCAGGTTAGGCGTCTTGATGACACGCAGGAGGTCGGGCATGTCCTTGATCTCGACAAGGTGCATGTTGCTCCTGGGATAAACGTTGAGAATGCCATCGAGAGCTACGAGAATATCGTTCTGTCTTTGAGCCTCAACGTAGATGTATCCCTTCATAACCGAGTTGATACCACCACGTTCGAAAGCAGCCGTGATGGGGACCTCGTTCTTGGTGCCCATTCGCTCTTCAATACGACGCATAATCGAGAAGATGACCTCACGCTCCTTTCCTTCTTTACACCTGACGGCCCAAATGCTGGGGTCCTCGACACTGGGAAGAAGCAAGCGACGGGGCACAATGGCCATGTCTCCGTAACCTCTAGCCGGGGCGCGCTTGCCGTAGCGCTCGCGCAGGATCTCTGCCTGTTTCTCAGCGTCGAGGCTGGCCTCCATCTCTCGGCGGCGGTCGAGCTCGCGGTGTCTTCTATCATCGTTGAGGCGGCCGCTGTCGGCAATATCGTCAGGGTGGGCATTGTCGATGAAGTCCTCTATCTCTTCACCGTCGCCGACTTCGTCTTCTCCCTCGTCTTCGTCGTCAACTTCGGCTTCGATATCGAAGAAGGCAGCTCTACGGTCCTTGTTGCGGCGCTTGCGACGATTGCCCTGCAGACAAGAGACGATGGGTTAGCTAGGTCCCAGATGGGGCGACACGGGTAGGTTTGGCAGATCATCTGCACCGGGACTTGTCTCTTGCTATTTTGGCAAGTGTGGATGGGGTGGTGCTGCAGAATCGAAGTGAAGAGACATTGCTGTGATGCGAACTTACACCATGAACATCATCCTCGTCTTCCTCATCTTCCTCTTCCTCTTCATCCTCCTCTTCCTCCTCATCTATCTCCTCGTTCTCCTCTTCATCTTGCTCTTCATCCTCGTCATCATCGTGGTGATCTCGACGCGGTCGCTTGGCTGGGCGCGCGTCTTCCTCTTCGTCGTGTTCTTCCTCCTCCTCCTCTTCGTCTGGTACCGGGCTACTAGCCTGCCTCACGGTCTTACCAGCGGGGCGGTGGTTGTGCGTGGTCTCTTCGTCGTTGTCGTTGTTCTCCTCGTCCGACATGTCGGCGGGGGCAGGGTTGAAGTTGTCATCGTCGGACTCGTCGTCGGCGCCGGCGAACTGCCAGCTGTTTGAGGCCATTCTGAATAATTATCTGAAAGAGAGCGGCGAGCGACAGGGGTGTCGTACAGTCGTACTGCCAGCGGTCGCGCGTTGTGTCGAGGTGTGGACGAGAAATGGGAAAGGAGAGAGGAAGGGAGAGATGGCCGTAGGTCGCGAGATGCCTGTGGGATTATATTTGTAGGTGAGAAAAGGAAGATTGGCCGGCCTCGAGTTGATGGATGATGTGGTGGGAAATGGACCGACTTTTGAGGCGTCGACTCGCTGTGAGTGTTCAGTTGCAGACTTGCAGCAGCACCGGGTCGTGAGGCGGAAAGAGAGCTGCACGGCCCACAACTGGATCCCCGGTGGACTTGGAAGCACGGACGGTCACACCTCCACCGCCCGGTTGGTTGAGGACACTGAACGGCAGGGGACTGCTGCTGCCAAGCACTGGAATAAGCCGCTAGGCTATTCGCGGCCAAGGTCTCCGGCCGGCAAGAGGTTTTGTTCAGGTCATTCGACCAGGACCTTGCAGTCCAGGACGGGTGCCTAGGTAGAGATACAGCATCCTCCATCCATTTGCGCACGTGGCTGAAGTACAAGTACTTTGAGCTTGTGTACATATTATGTAGAAGAGAGCGCTGCACCGTGATAACCTCCCTTTCGTTTGCCCTTGTCAACACTGTTACAAACCTTCAACGACTGTGAAGAAACGGTAGTCAAGCTACAACCAGACGTCTACTTGTAGTGTATCTCCTCATCCCATATCATGGAACACATCAATCAGCCGCACCAAGCACGCCAGACTTTCCCGTTGACTATCAACTAGTCCATTAATACCTAGTAGACACGGCCAAGTAAAAGTCAACTCCTGGCAGAGACAGACAGACAAAACTATCTACATAATACAGCGCTCCTCCAGGAAGAACAATCACCTGACCACCTCCTTATCCTTCCTGGTAACCGTCTGAATGAAACTCTGGTACTGTTCATCCTCCGTGGTCTCCAGCATAATTCTCGCATTCCGCCTCGGTGGAAGCTCCCTAATCTCCGGCTTGGGTATCTGCTTGTTTGCCGTCGTCCACAACACTCCCCCCGTCCTTGCCGCCTTTGGCGCTTTCAGTTCCGCCGCCGCCGCTTCTTCTGCTCTTGATGGAGCATCAATCATCACCAGCTCCTTGTCCTTGTCTTTCTCCTTCGCGTGTTGTCCCTTTCCAGACCCGGCTGCGGCGGCCCCGTCCTGCGCCTTATCTCCTTCTCCTTCGCCGTTCTCTGCCGTCTCAGTGGGCCTGGGCAGCCTCATGGCTAGTAGAACGTATTCGCTTCGTTGCATGGTATCCATGATATCGTCCATGTACCTCTTGACCTCCTCCTCCGGCGCCACTACTCTTGCCAAATTATCCAGCACATGTTTGCCACTGGGAGCCGCCGTAAACAACCTTATAGTTATGGGCTGGTAGTAATCAAGCTCCGGGTCCGCCATCGGATATACTGCTTTGCTTCCCCTCCTGATGATAAGGAATGACGCCACCACCTGCTGTTGCTGCTGCTGTTGATGCTGTCCTTGGGTACTGCTAGCGCTGCTACTGGGAATAGTCTGATAATCCAGAATGCTGAACTTTGGAAAGAGGTACCGATCACCGTTTCCTCCCGCAAACTCGAATACGATGGCCGAATAATCAGGTTGTTTGGGCGGCGGCGGGGGGCCCTTTGAACGAAGCGCCTGTTGGGCAGATGGCTTGTCGGCTTTCTCTCCCTTCTCCTTTGTGGCCTTTTCGGCCTTCTCTGTCGTCGTCTTCTTCTCCTCAGCAGCATTGGCCTGTGAGGTCGTTGCTGGACCGCCATCAGTCCCACTGCTCGCGCCGTTGGTTTGTTTCAAAGATCCCGCTGCCGAGACCGTTGATTGACGTCGTTGCTGTTGGTTCTTTTTAGTGCCAATGTTAGAATGCGCGAGGTCCAGAATCGCCTTAAGATCCGTGGCATCGGCGGGTTGAGGCTTGTTGTGGGCTATACGCCGGACCATTTCCTTCGTCTTTTCATCGTCCAGAGCTATCTTTACTAACGAGACCAGGAGAGCATCGCTGTCTTTGGGCGGCTGTAAAGTAGATGACTTTTGCTTGGGGTTGGATGCTAGAACAATGTCAAGTATTGCAGCTACCTCGTCCGCAAAGTACTGAACCGTTTTTCCATCGACAAACAACTTATCTGCAGCTGGTGGCGCCGGAATGTTGCTTTGCCGTTTGCTCTCTGACGTGATGGCGTCAATGATACCCTGGAATCGCTCGAGTTCCTGCTTGGAGGCCTCCCCCTGGGCCACCCGCTTCATGAGATCTCGGAGTTGAGGGTCTTCGCCAGCCTTCTCGGCTAGCATGAGAATGATTGGATCTGCCCCCGCAGCTGGCTTGGCTGGTGCGGCGCCATTGGCAGTGGTTCTTGGCGTGGCTGGAGCTGCTGGAGCTGCTGGAGCCCCTGTTGCTGGTCTTGGGGGGACACCAGATGGTATTGAGGGGGTGGCCGGAGTCGCAGCACTTGGTGGAACGGTTGGTGGGACGGGCACTGGTCGGGGTGGTTGCGCACCAGCAACTGGTGCTGTGGTTGGGGCCCGCGGAGCCGCCAAGGACGGAGATGGTGAAAGAAGTGATTCGATGCCTCTAGGCGTTCCAGCGGGCTTCGCGAGCGTGGATGGGGCCGCAGCAGCTGGACTAGGAGCACTTTGCGCGGATGGTTGTTTGGTCGGCTGTGTCTGTGACGTCGGGTGTACTGCTAGCTTTCCTGGTGTTTGAGGCTTGGCCTCCGCTTGTTGTGTTGTCTGAGAGGTGACCTTTGGATCCGCCTCTGTTGTGATCGGTTTCTTGGCGTCTGATGCAGCTGGCGTAGGTGTTGACGAGGTTGAGGCCACCACTGACTTGGGCTTGGGTGTAGGAGGAGGCGGCATGACCCCATTCGGAGGTCCGTATTCGAGGATCGGTCGCTTCTCGGTTGGTGGTTTTGGCGGAGGAGGGTTGGGGTCCTTGACCGCGAACATTGTCGCCTCGAAGACATGTGGCTCAACCGTGATTGTCACCTGGCCCAGCTTAACCATGCTGTCCTTGGGAGGATTGTTGGGTTCCTCGATGACGGCACCCCTCTTCTTTATCGGCTTCGTCCAGTACTTTTCGAATATTTGCTCGGTCATCCATTGGTTACGCGATCGGACAAAGGACTCGTGGAGAACGCCGCTGCGAAGTGGTCATGTTAGATTCAGCCAAAGCGCATGAACGCGCGGGGGTTTGAAGAGGGCTGCACACCTTTCTTGCAGAGTCTGATAGTCCTTGGTCGAAAGATCTTCCGGCTGCGGTTCCTCGACGGTAGGAAGCGGCTTCCCTGCTGTGACGGAGCTGGGCAATGTCTGCTTGGGCGGCTCCTCCACAGCGGACTCGGGCTCGGGCTCCTTTTGGGGCGCGGGCGCTGGAGTGGAAGACTTTCTCGAGGTCGGAGGCGTGTCGGTTTGTCTTCGCTTGGCGGCCTGCTCAGACCTCGCCGCGGCACGAGGAGGCAGCTTGCGCTTCTTTTCCGTAGTCATGGCTTCACGCACGCGACCCGACCCGGTAGTACGGTACGGTACGTTTCTCGTCGTGATGTGGAAGTGAGAGTGGTGCACTACGCAATCGGCATCGGGAGCTAGACAATCGCGAATGTCGAGGGAAGGTGAATATTGGATGTGGTATCAAGGGCGTAAAATGACGTGTGTCTTGGGGGGCAGAGGGGGGTATCAGTCGCGAAGGAGAAAAATGGGATTATGAACAAAAAGAGATAGGTGCCAAATGGGAAGTGTCGGTTGAATAAGAAGCAAAAAAGGAGGGAACGTGTCCAGCGTGACGGGGGTGGGTGTCCAAATATGGAGATGACGACGATCGCGGCTGCGTGTGTGGACGTGTGGGTGGTGGTGGTAATGGTGGTGGTGGTGGTGGACGAGTAAGCGTGTTGCGACTCGTAATGAGAGTTCGTTTCGTTGTGAAGGTGAGGTTCTGTTGTATGAATGTACAGTGAAGAGATGGACAAGACGGAAGTGGAATAAATAATAGGATGGGGCTTGTTCCAGTCCCGCCCGTCTCCTCTCTCATGTGCCTGTGACGGGAAGGGAATGAGCACGCACTCCCTTCCCCCTCTCCGCCTAGTGTAGGTAAATGGTCCGAATGGCCGGCCTGTCCTCCGCTCTACACTACACTACACTACACTACCATCGGCCTACCATCCTCTATTCTAGAGGTACCTACGTACGCTAGCAAACGGGAGACTGCGCGGACACTGATCCTGGATAGGGTAATAAAAGGAAAGCAGCCTTTTGATTGGTTCGGGTTCGAATGAGGTCCCCTCCAAGTTTATTTACCCTTGGTCGTCCAGCTTCGTCCAGTCGGGCAGGTGCACCTCGTGTCTCCGCTATCTCTGATTAAATTTGAGGAAAAGACATAAGAACTGGTCATCTACCTGAGCTTCGATCGATATGTGTGACAATATCATCTCGTCATTGACATCCAGGGAAAACGCGTGTTGGGCATGCTCATGCGACAGAACATGAGATGGATGAGTGGAAAGCCATTGGCGGGCAACGCTTGATAGACGCTGATAGTGAGTAAGCCCAACACGGGAATTGCGGCTGACTGTGCAATGGGTGGGACGGCGATTAAGCCTCAAGCGCCCTGGACCCAGTGTATTATGCTCCTTAGCAGCTCGACGGCAGGATTGGGTGAGAGCTACACGGATAACCCTAGCCTCGGTGATCCTGCTTCTAACTGGGCCCAACCCGAGTCCCGCTTTGCCATCCAACGTCAGCTCTTCCTCTGGCGAATCTTGGAACCAACATTCCATTCCAACTTTGCAACCAACAAGGCAACAAATCTTTACAAAGCGGCTTGGATTCATAGTCTCTCGCTCTTTACAATGGATTAAAAGCGTTCTGATCTTATAAATCCATAATAACAACAAAATACACACATAAGTACACCCAACAACAATTACATTCTATTCCCTTTCGTTCACATGTATGACAAGGGATCATGACGTCTTCGGCGGCCTACCTCGTTCCGGCCCTCGCCGTTGGTGTTCCCGTCGGTATATACGCTCTTTTTCTCGGTCTTGTTTCGATTCCGTGTATTCAACGATTGTAAGAAAATCATTTCCGTAGAAAAATACTACCAGAACTATCATCTCAAGAATCAGAAATGTAAACACAATGTGCTGACAAAACTATCCTCATCTTTCTTCGGTAAGTGCCGTATATTCACACAAAATTAACACCCTCTGGTGGCCACCACATAACCCCAACCGTCCCGAACGATGGGGATTTGCAAGTCAGTAGTAATCTTTAACAAACAGATCGTTGTGTGACTAGGTAACAAGTAGAACTAATCATACCCGAAAAAAAAGAAAACCAAGTAACCCCCTTCCCCCTTCACACCCTCGACTCCCAGACCCTTTACGCCTGGCACATCCTCCCCCTGGGCCTCTACGTCCGGCATGAATCCGCCCTAGCCGCCCAAGACCGCTCTTCCAACGACGGGTTTGTGCCAGACATCACCACCACCGTCAACTTCAAACTCCTGCGCGACGACCCCGAAGCGAGGCTGGTGCTTTATTTCCATGGCAACGCAGGCCACATCACGCAATCCATCCGCCCGCGCTCCTTCCACGCTCTCACCTCGGTCTCGTCCAAGATCCATGTCCTGGCCATCGACTACCGCGGCTTCGGCCTCAGCACGGGCTCACCGACGGAGCAAGGCCTGATTCTAGATGCCAGAGCGGCCGTCGACTGGGCTACCCAGGTTGCGCGGATCCCACCGGAGAGGATCGTGTTGTTGGGTCATAGTCTAGGGACGGCGGTGGCGGCTGCTGCTGCTGCCGAGTATTGTTGTACTTCTGGGGCTGGGCCTGGCTGTTGCTCATCGGATGATGGAACTGAACCTAACAGAGACGATAATCACGAGACTCAGGCAAGGAGAGAAGAAGAACCGATGGAATTTGCCGGAATCATCCTCGTAGCTGCCTTCTCCTCCCTCCCCACCATGCTCTCCGGCTATGCCATCGCCGGCTGGATCCCCGTCCTTCGCCCGCTTTCCTTCTGGCCTTGGCTACTCGACAAACTCATTTCACGCATCGTGGACAAGTGGCCCAGCGCTGAGCGACTTACCCGCCTGACAAAGTCTGCTAAGACGGATGGCCGGAGGCTGAATCTGACGCTTCTTCACGCCAGAGACGACTGGGATATTCCATGCCACGAAGATGATAAGCTTTTCAAGGGCGCGGTGAGGGGATTGGTGGAGGCGGATCTGGGGGTTGAAAATCAGCATGGAACGGGTGAGCAGGAGGTTGAGCACGATGATGAGCGTGAGAGGATTAGAAGGGAGGAGGAGAGGGAGGTGGAAAGCTGTGTGGAGAACTTGTTAGAGAAGGAGAAGGGGAAGAGGACAGTGGAAAGGTGGATGGGAGATGTGAGGAAGGAGAGTGAGAGGGCGTTTGTGACGACGTGGGAGGATGAGGGGGTGTGCATTAGGCAGGAGTTATGGCCTTATGGTGGTAAGTTGAGCTTGGGTCAGATCGCGGTTGTGAAGAGAGAGCTAATCAGGTGATAATGCAGGACATAATAATCTCATGTACTACGCGCCGGTGCCAATGGCTGTTATGAGGGCATTTGGGCTTGCTGACCAGCCTGAACATAGCCGGGATTAATGGCACATTGGTAGCTCATACGGAGACATTTACGAATAGACTTTCAGTTCACTAGATACATACGGCTGGACCCGTGAATACCACTGGACGGTATGCACTCAAGGAACTGGACATGTTAGATGAAAAAGACATCATCACAAACAAACACACGCACAGTAACGCTCGATGCATGATAGAGGACTTGTGGCAAAAGCCAACAGAAGATGGGAAATGATAACCAAAATAATGATGGAACAGTAATCAAGCGCCCCCCATGACCTTCACTGTTCCCTCCTCAACGGTTTATAGCCGGTCGCCGTATCGTAGGGAAAGGGGGCTATGGACAGCCCGACCAAGGCCGGGCACCCTCTTTTTTCGTGTTAATCGTAGAAAAGTGCCGTTGTCAGGAATCAACAACACCTCAGAATTCATCATAACCCCAACCCAGCGAGCGGTTCACCGCATTCATGGCATTAACACCTGCCCTGACGAAGTTCGCCACTCCGTCCACCACAGGATGGCCAAAAGTCTCCTGCTGGCCCTCCTGGCTGTTCAGCAAGTCCTGTTGATCGAGGGTACACTGCCTCTTCTCCATGACCGCACGATGGATAGCCCGTCCCCACATATTATACCACTGGTCCTCGCTGATGCTGGTATACTTCCTCTGTCCATCCGCGCCCATGACCGAAAAGTGCCAGTCCGCAAACACGGTCTCGAACCTCTTGGTCCGGAAAAACAAATACGGCCACGTAAAGATAAACATGAGGCTGAATATGCACAGCCAGATGATCCATCGCGTCGTCCGCCACCGGTTCGTCTCGCAATCGTTGTACACATGCACATACTCGTCCTTCTTGGGGAAACTGATCTCCAGACTGCCGCGGTAGTTGGTGGCGCGCACCAGGTCCGTCAGCTTCTGCACAATTTTCTTGTCGTCGAACCCAACCACGCGCCGCTGCAGCGTCAGACATTTCAGTCCGGCGTGGCTGGCGCAATAGCGGTGGCACCACTCGGCCAGCGTCGGCTTCTCGGCTAATCCGACCTCGATATGGCGATTAGCCCCCGGCGCACGCTTGCGGAGGACGGTGCCGCGCCGAACTTTCTCGTCGTTATCGGCGGTGCGCAGCTGCATGAGAGAGGTTTGCGAGACAGGGTCCGAGTAGAGGTAGGGGGTGAGCTCGATGTGCAGGTCAAAGTCCGTAACTTCCTCCGAGTCGTTCTTACGACGCCCATTTTGAGGGTCAGTTATGTCCCTGCGGCGCTTGTGTGTGCCGTGGATGCGGACAAAAGGCCGGGGTGGCTGTTTGGACCATAGCTCGATGTGCTTTTGGAGGAACTTGGGGTCGTGGTCCAGGCGCGAGTCGAGGTACAGTTCGGTGCCGGTGGGCTCGTCTCTTTTGTAGTGGTTCACCCAGTCTCCGGGAGGAAGTATGTTGTGTGGGTGGTTGATATAGGGTGGTGCGCCAGAAGGGAGAAGAGGAGCACTACTACTGCTTCCCGAGGCGTTGATTTCGTCGTAGAGGGGCGGGAGGTCGTCAATGTCCAGCTCTGGGGCATCGGTATCTAGAGTGCCATCAAGTGGAACGGAGTGTGAGTGTTCGCCGGGTTGAGTGCGCATGGAGACGGCATCATCGCTGACGCCGAGACGAGGTGAGGGTTTCCCCATGATAACAATCTTGAGGATTAGGGTTTTCTGATGAAATAATGTGTAGATAATAGATGTCAACTGTTATATGATCATCAGTAGGAAGGAGAGATAGAAGGATAGAGTTGAAGAAAGGTGAAGTAAATTGGGCGATGGTCGGTGATCATAAAATATTCAAGTGATGAACGAGAAAAGATGAGTGGTCAGCTTCTTTGACAGCGAAGGCAGCAGTGAGTGGCGCAGCAACACCGGAAATCAGCCCAAGCCAATCTTGACATCGACTTTGAGTTCAGATTTTAGCTGCATATGTGTTAGTTCGAAGCATTTTCTCGGGCTTTTCCCTGGTTTCATCATTGCGTCTACAATGACTCCAAAGGGAATGTCACGATAATCGAAGTTTGAGAACAAAATAATTGTGTATGGTAGAGGTCCCTTCATATTGGGTTGTAAGCACAATGTCGTACATAACGTGGGTAGAGATATGAAATGCCCGACCGATACCTAGAAGCCGTTGAAGGCTCCACTTTTCCCTCTCGGTGCGTACCGAGCTGTCCCCTGCACCTGACAGCGTGGGCTGCCTTGGAGGACCCCGCGACAGGTCAATTGGGCCCCGCTTGCCCCGCTGACCCTGCCTTCTGTGAGACGATGGAAAATGCGCTAACTGGGCCACGACACGCCAACACGCCAGTAAGGAGCAACCTCCGACCCCCGAGCGGGACAGGAGCTCAGGGTGGGATTGGAGCTGTTTTGGAGTACTGTATCCATCGTCAACACCCAAGCCCAGACTCCAATCTCTCTCCTTCCCCACGTCTCCCTGTCTCTTCCACCCGAGTTCTTCGATCCGTCCTCAGCCTTTTCATCTCTCAACTCTCCCCCTGGACGTGAGGGCAGCTTCAAAAGTCCCACACGACTCTACTAGTACGATTTTACTACGACGACCACCACCCCAAGCTTGACAGCACCCCACCTACCCTCTCCTAGTGCGCATCCATCACATTCGTCAGGAACAATGCCGCCGACCGAAGAGTCCAAGCCTGTTGACCCGGCCCAGGAGAAGCAGGCCGCCGAGGCTCTTGCTTCCCTCAAGGAAGCTCAGCAGCCCGCCGCCGACGAGTCCGGCTCCGAAGATGAGGGCGCCGACGGCACCGCCCAGGAGGCTGGATCCGGCTCCACAAAGAAGAAGAACAAAAAGAAGAGCAAGAAGAAGAACAAGGACAAGTCCGCCTCTACCGAACCCTCTGATGAGGTGGGCTTGACGGAGGCGCTGGCGCAGGCAGACCCCAAGTCAGCACTCAGCGGCTTGACCCCCAAGCAGATTCAAGAGTTCATCGACCTGAACCCCGCCCTTGCCAACGAGCTGCTGGCGGCGTCTGGGAGCTCGGGAACAACCGACGTGATGGAAGCCTTCAAGAAACTCAAGATCCAGGACATCATCACCGGTCTTGCGAGCAGTGGAAAGAACCGTAAGGACATGGCGTCATACAAGTTCTGGGCCACCCAGCCTGTGCCCCAGTTCGACGAGAAACCAGCCATCTTTGAGGAAGGACCCCTCAAGATCCAAAAAGTCGAAGACATTCCCGATGAGCCGATCCCACTCAACCTGGCGCCTTTCCGATGGGTCACCATGGACCTCACAGACGAAAAGCAGATGCAGGAGGTCGAGAAGCTCTTGTACGGTCACTTTGTGGAGGACGACGAGGCCATGTTCCGTTTCAAGTACTCGACCTCTATTCTCAAGTGGTAAGTGACACTTGGCGAGGGTTATTTGAGTCGCGTCCATATGGCTTGTGCTAATGACATTACGCTAGGTCGCTCATGTCTCCTGGCTGGAGAAAGGAATGGCACGTCGGTATCCGTAGCGGTGACACTCTTTGCGCTTTCATCGCTGCCGTTCCTACCGAGATCCGCGTTCGCGACAAGGTTATCCAAGGCTCCGAGGTCAACTTCCTCTGCATCCACAAGAAGCTTAGAGGCAAGCGCTTGGCTCCCGTCCTCATCAAGGAAATCACTCGTCGCATCAACCGTGAGGGTATCTGGCAAGCCATCTACACCGGTGGCATCGTCTTGCCCAGGCCCGTCAGCACTTGCCGCTACTACCATCGTGCGCTCAACTGGCAGAAGCTGTACGAGGTTGGTTTCAGCCCGTGCCCTTCAAACAGCAAGCCGGCCTTCCAAGTCCGCAAGTACGCCCTTCCGGAACAGACCTCGACCAAGGGACTTCGCGAACTTCAGGTCAAGGATCTCGACGCGGTACACAGCCTGCTTGAGCGCTACCTGAAGCGTTTCGACCTCACCCCAGTATTCAACCGGGAGGAAACGGAACACTGGCTCCTTCATAAGAAGGATTCTTATGCCGAGCAGGTCATCTACTCGTATGTTGTTGAAGTAAGTTTCCAGTTACGATCCGCTTTCCTGGCAGTTGAACTCGTACGCTAATCTGATGTAGGATGCCTCGGGCAAAATCACCGACTTCTTCTCCTTCTACCTTCTCGAGTCGACAGTCATCAGGCACCCGAAGCACAATTCGATCCGCGCTGCTTACATGTTCTACTATGCCACCGAGACTGCTTTCGCCGAGCCCTTCGACAAGGGGGCTCTCCAGAAGCGCCTGAACGATCTGATGGCGGATGCTCTGATCCTCGCCAAGCGCCACAACTTTGATGTCTTCAACGCTCTTTCTCTCATGGACAATGCGCTCTTTTTGGAGAAGCAAAAGTTCGGACCAGGCGATGGCCAGCTTCACTACTACCTATTCAACTACAAGGCAAACCCCATCCACGGTGGTGTCGATAAGAAGAACAGGCTGGATGAGGATAACTTGAGCGGTGTCGGGTTTGTCATGGTCTAAGAGGGTTTTGGGTTAGGGTGTTGTTGACTGCTTTCAGGGTGGCTGATTCTACTGTGTTTGAACAAGAGTTGCCTGCATACAAACAATACCCGATGGATACCAGCGGGGTTAGCATCAAAAGCAATTGTAATAGTATTGATATTCAGCCAGCCTGGCGCTGCCAGACGATGAAGGTCTGCATAGTTGGACTCGGACCGTGCCTTCTTGACCCGGGATTAGTTCGCCACAGATCAAAAGGAGGAAGAGGGGGAACCTTCACCAACGACTTCCCCGGTTTGCCTTGAACCCCAACATGTTTGCGATGCGAGTCATCATCCAGGGATTGCGCCAACGCTTTCGCTGAATGATCCCACGACATCTCCGTAGTCAGAGCCGGACCGACAAGCCTGTCAATCTGCCCCACTTTTTATACGTTTTACCAATCGGAGCGTTTCAATGTCGAGGTACGTCACTGCCATGGGGACCAACACAATCACATGTGGACGCCGGCCGACAAGGTGCTCCCAATTCAACCGAGCCGCCACCACGAACACCAAGCCATCTATCTACCCATTACTCGGCCCTGAAAGTGTGCTTTGGCCTCAATCCCGTCTCATCTCAACAATCATCTAGGGTCCGCCAGTTCATATCTCTTCTCATCACGAGCAAAATACTCCAACATGCAAGTGTTAAGATGCTCACCTACCTACTATGCACTCACTAACACTTTTTCTCTCAGGGCCCCAACAACAACGCACAAGCCTCCAGTGCCCACCGTAGCCGAGACCATCAAGCACCCAGCCTTTCCCACGGCGATATGGAACCTCGAGCCCGATCAAAGTGGCCTCGCTCCGGTCGCCGTCGGGCGCGGCGGGCCCTTCAACGTGAGCTGGGAAATTCACGGTGAAGGGCCCATCAAGGTTTTAGTATGAGCCCTCCTCGACTCAGTCTTTCCCTCACAACCAACATTACCACTAACACTCTCGCAGTTTATCATGGGTCTCGGAGGTCTTAAATCCGCCTGGCAGCGTCAAACCCTCTACTTCGGCCACCAAAATCGCGACAAGTACTCCGTTCTCCTTATCGACAACCGCGGCATGGGCGACTCCGACAAGCCTCTCATGCGCTACAGCAGCAGCGAGATGGCCCGGGACTGGATCGACATTCTCGTTCACGTCGGATGGCTTCCCGCCCCGCCTTCCTCCTCGTCCTCGTCCTCCTCTTCTGCCGCCTCCCTTTCATCACACTCCGGGCCACCCCTCCCCCTCCCCACCGAACGCACCCTCCATGTAGTCGGCCTCTCCCTAGGCGGCATGATCGCCCAAGAACTCGCCTGTCTCATCCCCACCGCCATCTCCTCCCTCAACCTCTGCTGCACAGCCGCCGCCATCGAAAACACCACCACCTTTGCCGAAAACATCGCCAATCGCATCCGCATGCTCATGCCCCGGCCCGTCGACCACTCCATGGCCGACACGGCTCGGCAGCTCTTTCCGCTCTCGTGGCTCGAACAGCCAGACGACTGCGAAGTGCCCGACCCATCAACCACTCCCAAATGCGGTCCGCCCAACCCGCGCTCGCCCAAGATCCCCCGCCCGGCTGGGTCGGAATATCTCAAGTTCGATAGCAACGCGCAAAGGTACGTGGCGCAGGAGATGCACAAGCGTCTGGACCCGGCCCGCTTTGGGCTCAAGGGGTTTTTGTTGCAGTTGATTGCGGCGGGATGGCATCACAAGTCGGCCGAGCAGTTGCAGAAAATGGCGGATGAGGTGGGGAGGGAGAGGATTCTGGTGATGCATGGGACGGAGGATGGTATGATTAGCGTGCCGCATGGGAGGAAGTTGATTAAAATGATTGAGCCGGAAGTGGGATTAATTGAGGAGGGGATGGGGCATGCGCCGGTAGTGGAGAGGACGGGGTGGTATCATGGGGTATTGGTGGAGAGGATTCAAAGGGGGGAGGGGTTGGATGGGAGAGTTTAGCTTTGGGAAAAGGGGGTATGGGTGGTGATTAGAGAGAGAAAGAGGTGAAAGGGGGTCCAGGGCCATTGGGATTGGGTTTTGGTGATGATGTCGATCGTTTATCTGGGGCAAGGAGTTTTGGAGCGTGTTAACTTAGCATGCATGCATTAGGTCCTTTCGGTGGAGCACGCAAGTGTTGGCTAATATTAATCAATGTGCAGACGATATCAAGTCTTGATCAATCCATCTTGCAAAAGCGGCCTTCGAATTCTATGTGTGGATGGTGAGTTGAACTTATTCGTGAGCATTCTATTAAAGGATCGGTCCGGCCTGCGTACGAGACATCAGCTGTTCTAAGCGACAACCGAAAAGCTCACCATCTCAAGATGCAACAAACTTGCTATTTCAGAACCATTTGCCAATGCTACACCCGAATCGTACACGACCCCCTCCTTTCTCAATTCTTCACCACCAGCCTCAAGAAAGGACGTCCAGTTTACCGCCTCCTCCCATGAATCGTCCTACACACCATCCCCATAAAGTTATAAAACACCCCGTACGCCGCCCGGCCCAACGCGCCCTTATACCTGAACCACAGGAACAAGCCACCAGCCAACATCGGCAGACCAACACCACCAACCAAACTGCGCAGCAACACCTGTCCCTGACGCTCACTCTTCTTCACCACCTCCGAATACCTCTCATTCCCAAACGACACCCGCGAGTACTTGGTCTGCCACCCCAGACTCGGCACATAGACACTCAGCCACTCCTCCAGCGCCTTGCGCCACCTATACACGGGCGACAGCACCGACGACCGCATCTCAATGTAGTTCTGCAGCGCCAAATCATTAATGGCGTGCGCATCCGCCACGCGCACGGCGCTGTACTCGGCCAGCGCAAGCTCCCGCTGCGACGCCTCGAGACTGCTGTCGTCGTTGGTCATGCGGTCGTGCTTGTCGAGAATGTCAAACAGGATGCGCACGTCTTCGAGGCCAGCGTTCATGCCCTGTCCGTAAAAGGGGACCATGGCGTGGGCGGCGTCGCCGACGATGACGACGGACGAGGAAAAGTGGTAGGGTTTGCATTTGATGCTGATAAGGGGGAGGTGGGGGTTGGTTTGGAACTGGGACACGAGGTCGGCGGGGGTGATGAGGGAGGTGACGCCGGGGAAGTGCTTGTCGAAGAAGTCTGGGATGGAAGAGGAAGAAGTGCCGCCGGTGGTGGTGCTGGCGGCTTCTTCGAGTTGCTCGTAGATGGCGGCGGGGGCGAAGAGGGTGCAGGTGAAGGAGCCGTCGTTGGATGGGATGGCGATGAACATGAATTCCTTGCCGGGCCAGATGTGTAGATGGTTGGGGGATATCCTGAACTTGGACTTGGCTGATGATGATGGGGCGATCTGGAACTCGCACCAGAGTGTGTCGATGTACTCTTGCTGGTAGTCCATGCGGGAAAACTTCATCAGGTGGTAGCGGACCGCGGAGTGGGCGCCATCGGCACCAATCATAAAGTCGAAGTCGACCTCGATTTCGCGGGCTCGGTCTCGTGGGTTGGAGGTGCTCTCGTCTCGGTCTTCGAACCAGGCCTTGTTCCGCTTGAAATCGGCGCCGGTGAGCTTGTGGTTGAAGAAGAAGGTGACGTTGGGCATCTCTTCGAGCATGTCGAGGAGGCGCTTGTTCAGGTCGCCACGGTCGATGGCGAGGATGCTCTGATCTATTCATCAACACACCTGCTCTGTAAAAGCAAAGGGGTCGAGGGGAGGGGTCTTACCCGTCCATGGATGTCGTAGTCTTGAGCCTCCTCATACAATTTTCCATCTGGTCGCTTGCCGTGGATCATGCGGCCTCTCATGGGGATGGTCACCCCTTTGACATAATCGATGAGTCTTGGCTGGTTGGCATGGCGCATAGCTTTGAGGCCGCGTTCTGAGAGGGCCAAGTTGATGGATCTGGTGAAGTTGAGTGGTGTTGTTGAGGGATCACGGAGGTCTTAGTGTTTGTTAGTTAGCAGTGACATCTTGAACATCTTGAATCTTGACTCATGATGTATTGTAAAGTCAACAACGTAAAAAGACAAGACTCACCACCGCGCAGTTCATAAATCTCAACATCATGACCACGGTTGGCCGCATAAAGAGCAGCCAATGACCCGACCGGGCCAGCACCGACAACGACGACCTTTTGCTTTCTCTCCTCCATTTTTCGAAATTGGGTAGGTAATTGAGAGGATTTCCTAGCTTTGCCGGAAAAAGTAAGAGGTGGAAATAAAATGTGTTGGTGATTACATCAGACGATTGACACCAAGGTCCCATGAGACATGCAGTTCAATACTCGTCCGTGCGAGGTGATCCACTTCTACCGACGCCCTGCTGGTTCACTAACACTACAAACGGTTTAGCGCCATCAAAAAGGTGGATCAATTGGGTAAGCATTCTGGTCCCTTGTTGGGTCCATCCAACAGAGCCCCACCCGTCCCGGACCCCGGCAGAGCCGCCGCTGCCCGCCACTGAGAATGGAATGCGCGTGGGACGACTTTTGGGAGGAAGCGCCGCCAAAAATATTATTCGTCCGTCCACGCCAAGGGCCCGGCATCCAGACCTGTCGCCTTCCGTTTCGTTGTCGCTTCTTCACTTTGTCTCACGCCCTTTCAAGAACAACGAATTCTCCCAACTAGGATACCCAACACAAGGTCACCAGGTACTTTTATTTGCTCTTCAGACCCTGTGCCTTAGGCCATCTTCTACTACGCAAACTTGTTGCCTGTTGCTTCCCTTTGGCACATCAGGTCGTACTTTTTGATCGTCAAAGAGCAACTCTGGCCGACATCCTCGTTCCAACCTATGATCGTCAGGCTAACTTATCGGCCCCTCTTTAAAGCCTTTCGATAACCACAGACCGTGGCACTACAGTCTAATACGAACACCACCACCATGACCGAGCAACCCCCCGCGAAGAAGAAGTGCCTCGGCGCCGATTGCGAAAACGATGCCGGTTCCCTCCAATGCCCCAAGTGCTTGAGCCTGGGTATCAAGGGTAGCTTCTTCTGCTCCCAGGACTGCTTCAAGAAAAACTGGGTACGGCGCATCTTCTTTGGTTCCCTCATCCCACATACCTATGGATTTCCTCGACTGGGTCCCGTAATACCTTGCTTGGACTCGCACTTGCATGCGAACCTTGATAGCTGACCCTTTGGTTGCCCAATAGAACACCCACAAGGAGCTTCACAAGCTTGCCAGTAAATCAACCCGCTTCCCCTCCTCATTTGCCAAAGCGCATATTCTAAGACTCTGTTCCAGGCCCCGAAACCTACAACCCCTTCCCTACCTTCAGCTACACCGGCCCTCTCCGCCCCGTCTACCCTCTTTCGCCGAAGCGCGTCGTCCCCAAGTCGATCCCCCATCCCGACTATGCCGAGAGCGGTATTCCCGGCGGCGGCCGTACAAGGTCCAACAAGATTGAGCAGCTAGACGAGAAGGGTCGCGAGGGCATGCGCAAGGTGTGCCGCCTCGCCCGTGAGGTTCTCGACATCGCCGCTGCCGCCATCCGCCCCGGCATCACCACCGATGATCTCGACAAGATCGTACACGAGGCCTGCATCGAGCGCAACTCGTACCCCTCGCCTTTGAACTACAACTTCTTCCCCAAGTCGGTCTGCACATCGCTCAACGAGGTCATCTGCCACGGCATCCCCGACAAGCGCGTCCTCGTCGACGGCGACATCCTCAACCTCGACGTCACCCTCTACCACGAGGGCTACCACGGCGATCTGAACGAGACATACTACGTCGGCGACAAGGCCAAGGCCGACGCCGATTCGGTGCGCGTTGTTGAGACGGCCCGCGAGTGCTTGGAGGAGGCCATCAAGCTGGTCAAGCCCGGCACCCTGTTCCGCGACTTCGGCAACGTGATCGAGGCGCACGCCAAGAGCCGCGGCTGCAGCGTCATCCGCACCTACGTCGGCCACGGCATCAACAAGACCTTCCACTGCCCGCCCAACATCCCCCACTACGCTAAGAACAGGGCCGTCGGCGAGTGCAAGCCTGGAATGACCTTCACTATCGAGCCCATGATTGCGTTGGGCAAGTACCGCGATGTTACCTGGCCCGACAACTGGACATCCACCACCATTGATGGCAAGAGGACCGCTCAATTTGGTAAGTGCTGTTCATGATCCTGTAGGCGGTGGCTGAGTGCTGAGATGTTCAACTAACCCTGCTTGACAGAGCACACCCTCCTTGTCACCGAGACCGGTGTTGAGATTTTGACGGCGCGCACGGCTGACTCGCCTGGCGGCCCGGTACCCATGCCTACTGCCGCTGCTTGAGTTTGGTCGGACGCTAAAAAGTAAGATGTGCATCGTTATTGGAACAAAAAAAAGGCGTTTAAAGGGAATAATGTTGTGGTATAGACTTGTGCCGTAGCGTTCAATGCCTGAGTTGATACCCGGAGACATTTAAACGGGAAACCCAAAGCCATGGTCAGATCTATCAACATACTGATCTCACAATCGCAGAGCTAGAGGCACGTTACATATATAAGGTTCGCGCAAAGAAGAAGTGTCTGGACGGATACTCTGGAAGATTCTTAATCAAGAGGAGCGGGATTCGGGATCCTCACTTCAAGGCGGACTCGGCGGTAGGCTCGGCGGGTTGTGGAGAACCGGGCCCGGAGCTCTCTCTCTCTCTCTTCCCCAAAAGCGATTTGAGATTGTAAATGCTTGGATAGAGTATAGACAACGCCTAATGTTTCACCATATTTGAGACTAATACTCATCACTTCGGTAGTCAACTGGAACCATGAGAACTTGGGAGAATCATGCTTCTTAAAAGTGATGTAGCGGATCATCGAGGTCGGCGAGGCCGAGACCGGGGAACGTCTCTATGCCGCTTTGCCCCACCTCGGCCGGGCTGGGCTTACAGGATAGTGGAGCTTTGCAGAAAGAAGCTTGGGCCAACCTAGCCGCCCAACAGGCTCCAGGGGCGGACTTGGCAAGTGGGCTCGGGCTGGCAGTTCACGGCGAAAAAGAGTGGAAGGAGGCCGGGGGGGGCGTCTTCATCATCGAGGAAGCCCCGAGGCACCAGCACCAGCACCAGCTAGCTATCTATCTGCCTTGCCCCCAACAACCCTCCTCCTCCAGACCTAACTGAACCTCCAGCTGTCTCCACGCAAGAACCGAGTGAGTCTTCCCACCACTGCCCCGAGTCTGCCAACTTGCGACCGCCCTTTTTTTTTCTTTCCCAGAAAACACCAAATCCAAAGATCAACACGACGGCTTTTTCCAAGTCTTATCATCCCACCTCTATCTAACTTGGTAACCAGCCTCCACGTTTGTACAAGCACCGACACCGGCGCGCCCGAAGCTTGACATACTCCCCCTTTCCTTCGATCGAACTCTATCGTCCGACTTCGATTCCATCATAGTTGCGCACGCCATCTGTCGCGCACGTACAACATCTAGCCCACGCTCGCGCAAACCGAGTCCAACCAGCTACACCACCGAAGCTCTAGCTATCATCCGATAAGCACACAACCGCCAAAATGTCGGGCGAGGCGTGGCTATACCTGTTTGCGGTGCTTATAAACGCCGTCAACCTCTTCCTTCAAGTCTTCTTCACCATCATGTACAGCGATCTGGAATGGTACGTTGGTCATCTATCCTCCCTCTCGAAGGGTTCTACGAGTACACTGAACTCGGCATCCTGCGCGCTTTGTGGCTGGCGCCTCTTTTTCCAGCAGACAGTTGCTAACGGCATCTTGCAGCGATTACATCAACCCTATTGACCTCTGCAACCGCCTCAACACCTACATCATCCCCGAAGTCGCCGTCCACGGTTTCCTGACCTTCCTCTTCCTTATCAACGGCTACTGGCTGCCTCTCGTGCTCAACGTGCCTCTTCTCGCCTGGAACGTCAAGAAGTAAGTTTCAACAACCGCTTTGATGACAATATCCGCAGCTTGCGCGAACTGGATAACTAACCATGCGGTGCAGGATCGTTGACAACGCCCACCTTCTGGACGCCACTGAGATCTTCCGCAAGCTTAATGTCCACAAGAAGGTATGTCATCAGTTCAGCAAAACCAGCCGCGTCCACTGTGGCGAAGCTTCAAGGAGCTGCTTTTAACCGATCTGCGCGCTCTCTAGGAGTCTTTCACCAAGCTCGGTTTCCATCTCATTCTGTTCTTCTTCTACTTGTACAGCATGATTGTGGCCCTCATTCGGGACGAGGCTCATTAGGAAATGGCCGTCGCTCGCTAAGTTGAACTGGACTTCTCGTTTCACAACGATACCGCCACGAAGTCCCTCGGATCGGACGCGGAGCTCTCTCATCGGAGCTCGTGCTCGCATCTTTACCACCACCGTTTTATCGAAAGCACATAACGGCGCTGGGCACACTGGTACGCAGTACTTCAAACACACACAAACCAAAATCATATACAGTACAATCACAGGCAAGCAAGCAGGCAGGCAGGATCCTCGGCGACGGATGTTTGCAAAACGACGGGAAGGGTTCATGAGCGTAACATACGACGACTTTGACAGATGGAATGGGAGGGCATGAAGCTATGAAGAAATGGCGGGAATGATTATATTATTGGATGGCGGGAGAAGAGGAGGACGAATTGTATGGTTTTGGCTTCTATAATGAAGAGGAAAAGCGACTGACGGTCTTCGGGAAGGTGGCAACTGCCTTGCTGTGCGCCTCGGTTGGCATGACAGCTGGATAGACGGGGCAAAAGGAAATGATCAAAAAGAGTTTACGACCTCTTTAGCGATACCAATTGGGTGTACGCAGGTGAGGAGATGGAGAAATCGCGTGCTGTATTTCACTGCTTCATGAAGTATGTAATGAAACCGGGCGGGCTACGTCATGAAGATCATGGTCTCTTGCTGTCTTGTCAAATGTCAACACCGAGGGAAGGCAACGCGGGCCACATATGGAGAACAGGAACATGACTTTTTGATCCATAGACATTGGGCGCGTTGTTGGAATAAGTACTCTTTTAGGAAGCTGTTGTCGTCCTACCAAGATGGAACCGAATATTCGGGACATTGAATGCTCTTTCTACTGCATGGTAGAGAGCGAGACAAGCCAAAAACACAAGAGCTTGGCTCAACGCTGATCATTGTCAGCCCCTCCCTCACAAGCAAGCCTCAGCTCCAAAGCTTGGTCCTTGCTCGACCAGAGTGCGACAGCAACCCGGTTGGTGGTTCGCATATGGCCCGTGCACGCGTGTATCGGAGAAGCTCCACTCTGAATTTGAGGTCCACTGTTCCAGACGTCAACCAATGCGCCTGCCGCCAACAACTCCAAGAGGGTCGCATCCCATCTTCATCCCCAAAACAACAAAAACAACAAAAAAAACATTTCAGGTTCATCAAGCGTGCGGCTGGCGAGCAACCCATCACCACAAATTCAGCAAGCCGCAGCAGAACTAAACAGAATTCAAATAGCCATGGCCGACTTCAACGAATACCCAGCAAACCTGTCAGTCAAAGACGCCCTCATCGTCCGCCAAGTCGCCGAACCAGACCATGCCGTCGTCCCCTACACCGGCGAGGATCTAAGCCGACCACGACTCGGGCCCGCCAACCCTTTCCGCGACGATACCGACTCGGCTCCTACTGCGGTTGGCACCAAGAGGAAGAACGTCCTGACCGGTACTGCGGCCGAGACCTACATCAGCGAACACACCTTCCGCTCCAAGCACCGTGCCATCGAGCGCGGCGGCGGTCCCGCACGCGAACAACTGGGGAGCACCGCCAAGAAGGCGGCGGCTGCGAAGCTGAGGCAACAGAGAGAGGGGAAAGGCAGCGCGACGATTGCGGATGGCGATGGGGCCTACGTCGGGCCATGGGCGAGGTACAAGAAGCAGGAATATGAGGAGGTGAATGAAGAGGAGCTGGGGAGTGATGAGGAGTATGAGATCGTCGAAGAAGAAGAAGGGGAGGAAGAGGAAGACGTGGTAGAGAGCGGGACGGTCGTCAAGGCGCCGACGAAGAACCTGGCGCGGAGGAAAGAGGTGGAAGAGCAGGGTGCGGAGACGACGACGTTCCATGGCACCGAGGAATTCGATTATCTCGGCCGCACATACATGCATGTTCCGCAGGATCTGGATATCAGTCTCACCAAGGACGTCGGGAGCGTCACGAACTTCATCCCCAAGAAGCACATGCATAGTTGGAGGCACCATGCCGGCAAGCCGATCACGGCGTTGCAGTTGTTTCCCAAGTCAAGTCACTTGGGTCTGTCGGGCAGCACGGACAGCACCATCAAGATCTTCGATGTCTATCGCAATCGCGAGCTGTTGCGGACGTATGCGGGCCATTCAAAGGCTATCACCGACTTGTCGTTTAACAGGGACGGCACCAAGTTCCTTTCGGGCTCGTTCGACAGATGGATCAAGTTGTGGGATACAGAGACGGGACAGTGTGTCAACAGGTTCAACACGGGCAAGACGCCGCATGTCATCAAGTTCAACCCGTCGGTGGATCAGGGTCACGAGTTCTTGGCGGGCTTGTCGGATAACAGGATTGTGCAGTACGATAGTCGTGCGGGAGCGGATCCAGTGCAGGAGTACGATCACCACTTGGGCGCCATCAACACTCTCGAATTTGTGGACGAGAACAGGCGGTTCATGTCGACGTCAGATGACCGCTCGTTGAGGGTATGGGAGTATGGAATTCCTGTCGAGATCAAGACTATCAGGTATGTTGTCTTCTTTGTTCTTCCTCCCATTCTCATCCCCCTTGTCAGAAGTAATCACATGCTAACACCCACCCCCTCAGTGAACCCGACATGTTCGCCCTCACCAAATCCACTCAGCACCCTTCGGGCAAGTACGTCCTCTACCAATGCTCCGACAACTCCATCGTCGCCTACTCGTCGGCCTCGGACAAGTTCCGCCAAAACCGCAAGAAGTCCTGGCGCGGCCACAACACCGCCGGCTCCGGCATCGGGCTGGTCTGCAGTCCCGACGGGCAGTTCGTCGCTTCGGGCGATACCGGAGGATATGTCTGTTTCTGGGACTGGAAGACGTGCAAGATGTACCACAAGATCCACGCGGACACGAGTGGTGGAGCCATCAACTGTGTGGCTTGGTCGGAGCAGGAGACGAGTAAGGTGTTTACGGCGGGAGCGAAGGGTGAGATTAGGATGTGGGATTAGACACTGTCCGGTGTCGTGGGTCATTGGGTCATTGGGCCATTTGGGGGGTTTTGATGGCTGTCGTCAGGGATATCGGCAAAGGAAGAAGATTGGAGCGTCTCGGGTGAGAGCAGGCAAAGAATGAGCGATCGGAAAAAGATATTTACAGCATTGCTTGGCGTTGGGAGAAACATGTCGGTAATAATGGGATTGGATTGGCTTTTCAAGTGCAAAGACTTGATTTTGGAGCAGCAGCAGACACCAAGCAAGACACCGGCGAACAGCCGATATTGATCATCCATTCCTGGGCTTTGATTTGTTTTCGTTCATTCGATTGAACTATATACTGGATGTGGAATGAAAATGTGACAGTGACTGGTCGACCGAGTATCTTCTTGGGATGCAGATCAATCCAAGTCATTCACACCACTCGTCCAGCTGTCAGATATTCTCTCTCTACACCACGGCGTCGAGGTTTACTTCCCAAAAAGCCATGAACATTACTTTGCAGCCAAGTGTGTTTGGATTGTTTGGTTGTTCATATGGTTTCGGCACTGTCACTCTCCCTGCCGCTGGTTATTCAAATTGACATCACCTGTCGTATCGTGCACCGCACCGCTTAAGTTTACTTGCTCCCTTCAGCGGGTTCCGGCTCCTCTACCGCTATAACATCATTGCCGGAGTTGTTGTGTTGCGCATCTTCCTCATACCCGTGGGTGTGTGGTTGGCTTATAGTGCCACCAGGTATTGGAAAAAAAACTGTCGCTAAAGCGTTCTCATTACAACCGAAATACCTACTACTTTCGTAAAGAATGAGAGGGTAGTTCCTGCTACATAACTTAAAGAGAAAGAAGGAAGGATAAAAGGATAGAAAAAGTTCAAGCTTAGAACTATATAAGAAAAAAAAAAAGAAACAAAAAAGAGTGGACAATACCGGATTCGAACCGGTGACCTTTCACAAAGGCGCATCTGTGGAATAATGCGAAGCGAAAATCATACCCCTAGACCAATTGCCCTTGGATTGTTACTAGACTTCCAAAATCCCAAGCCTATATTTGCTGTAACACATAGTGCTCACGCATAGTACAAACATGTACAGTTATAGTCAGAGAGAAATACTGTCACCCTTACCCCATTAGATATGTGAGGGAGGGATATTGTGTTTTTATTTTATTTTATTATGACTTTAGTATCCGTCTCGTTAATATTCGTAAGGAGAACCTCTATTCGCACGGGGATGAAACTCTATTCGCATGGGGATCCACTTTTGCTTTTCTAAGTATAACTTGGTCAGACATTGTTGTATGAGGCTGAGGGTAGTACCAAATTACTCGTTGATTTTTTGCGGATTTTTCGGTTTAGGTTCCAGTTTCATAGTTCGAGATATGACCTAGATCTTACTTTTCTAGATTTTTGCATCAAAAATCTTCTTTATTATTTTTAATAGTTCAGTTTCTTTCTCCTGAATTTTCACGAGCTACTAAAGACCTACAGCTCTTAGAAAAGCTATAGTAAATAGAGAAAAAAATAAGAAAAAATATGATATACTTTACTACCCTGTCCTAGATTTTTTAAGGTATAAAAAGACATAGTTAAGTTTCACTTTTTGACCCCCGTGCAAATAGAGTTTTATCCCCGTGCAAATAGAGTTTCTCTTAGTAAGATGTTAAAGCAAAAAGTAACATCGTGGTGGCAACCAGTAATAAGTAAACCGAGCACGTCTAAATTCCGATCTTTGTACACCTTTCAAGACGGTTTCATGCATTGCTTTCGCTATCAGATAAAGGGAGGTATCTAAAAATGAATAGTAACTCCCCGACTCCGTCAACCGTCAAAAGCCTGCAGATTTCCTCCGCCCCCAGATGGCTAGACATGGATGTGGAAAGGGAGGGGGAAAAAAAAAAAAAAGAAGCCCACTAAAGCATTGCCATGATAGGTATACATCCTCACAAACGGCTTCCCTTCCCTTCCTTGGATAGATAGATACATATCCTTTGTGATCGCCACTCAAAATACCATCCACAAAGATCGCCTGCTCCCTTGCTCTCCCAGTTCGGGATGCTTCGAAATTCGAGGAAAGAACGGAGGCTCCAAGAAGATGAACTAGCAGCAGCAGTAGCAGCAGCACCACCATCAGCAGTAGCGTACCAATGTACAGCAGCAGCAACAGAATAAGTACGAACAGTAACACCAAATACGCCAGCTAAGCATCTGATCTGATCTGTTCTGATCTAATCAGCTCAAGCCAACTCAAAACTCAAAACTCAAGCATATGACTGCTGGTAAACACCTGCTTCATGCGCTTCTGGACCGTGTCGAACGGCATGAAGCTGCACGACTCGCTCTCCAAGTGGCTGATGATAGAAGCCAACGTCTTGAACTCGGAGGGGCAGTTGCGGTTCGGACAGTGGTAAAGGATGGTGTAGTCTATATAAATTGTAGGAAGATTAGCTGATCCGTTCGCTGCGGAACCAAAATAAAATTCAACGTGATTTTTCGACTCCCGTAGACACGGGCATCCGTCCCTATGTAGGCGGCCGTCCTGAGGACCAAAAAGGTTCGAGAAAAATAGGAAAAGGAAGGGTGCAAGACAGAGAAAAAGAAGGAAAAAAGAATCAAACTCACGAGCCGGCGAATTCAAATGTTTATTCAAATCCGCCCTAGTCCTGCACACTCTAGCGCATAAGCCACACGCCCAGGCGAAGCCGTTCCAGGCGCTGTCCGTGCATGTCCAGCGGTCCGGCTTCGACTCGCCGCCGTGCCAGCTAATGAGATTCTTGCAGATGAAGCCGCGCGGGTCCCTTTGGCGGACGATTTCAAAAATAGTATCACGGTTCAGAGACGGAGCGCTGCGGCAGCCGTTCGTCTCCAGGTGGGTGGTCAGGCCGGCCACGGTGGTGAAGCAGTTGCGGCAGTAGGGACAGTCGATGTTTTGGCCGCGGTGGATGCGGGAATTGAGGTGCTGTGATAGAATAGGGGTTAGAGGCAGCTAAGGATGAGAGGGAGGGAGCGAGGGGGAAATTATCTGGCTGGGGTTTGATGACAGATGTCTTCTTTGGGACGGAAAGTACTGGGGACCTCGGGAGCCACTTTGCTGAGCGGAACATCAAGGTAGGTACCTACCTGCTTGATATTGTTGGTGTTTTGGAAAAACTTGTCGCAATCGGCGCAATAGTTGTGATCCTCGACCTCGTGCTCGATAAGACCCTGCTCGCTGCGATACTTGTTGTCGCAGACACGGCACTCATGGCCAACATGACCCTTGGCGTTCATATGCTGCCAGCGAGCAGCATCGCCGTTGAAGGTTGCGAGGCAAGTATCACAACCGTACCTCGCGTATTCGTGCGCAGCCTCATGGTCGTAGTAGTCATCCAGATGCTCTTTAAGACCATCCTCATCGTAGAACGACTGGTCGCATGTATGGCAGAGGTAAACCATGATGACGGTAGCTGGAGGAAAATACCGAGAGAATGACAAAGTGATGACAGCAGTTGATAACGAGATGGACGGGCGTGGCGTCCAGATCTTCTCTAGCCCCAGGCCTGTTCTTGATATCCAGCCGATGCGAGATCAGTTCCAAAAGGCAGTTTGAGTGAGACAAACGATCCAGAAAGAGAAGAGCAACAGGGAAGTCTTGGAAAAATAACATAATTTACTGAAAGCGCAGGAGACTGTGCGGGGACAGATCAACGCCATGTTTTGAAGCTGTCATTCACTGGTAACACTCCTGCAGTCGGGGTTGACTGACATCGGACTGTGGGCCTCCCGCATCGACAGCTGCAGATGGGTACTGCAAATCAACAACAACGGAAAACTGACATAAAATTCCTGTAATGCGATTTGCGATTTAATGTCCTGGGTTGTCCGATTGGAATACCGTAGGTAAATGCGGAAGTATGGTCATGATGTTTGAGCGTCTCGTCATTTTCATGTGATGTTGTTGCCAAATATCCTTTGTCCCCCTCTCCAGCGGGTATAAACACCTTGCCCAATTTCTTTGTCTTTTTTTTCTTCTTCTTTTCTCCCCTTTGAGGCTCCATCGCTCCTCAAGCACATCACGCCTTCCCCTTCTCCAAAGCCGTAGCCAGCCCACTGCTCAGCAGTCGGCTCCAGTAGCCAACGGCCCAGATACTCAGTAACCAATCAGCCGGTTACCATTGACCATGCCGTGGATACTTTTCTGCACCTGCTCAAACCGCATGGCGCCGCACTTTTCGCTCTCAAGGTGGTTGATGATAGCAGCCAACGTCTTAAAGTCCTGGCGACATGAACGGTTGGGGCAATGGTAGAGGTTTTGTTGATGAGCAGGCGAATTCAGATGCTGATTCAAACCATGGCTGGTGTTAAACCCCTTATGGCACAAGTAACACTCCCACCGGTACCCGTTCCAGGCCCGATCGGTGCAAGTGTACGTGTTTTGGGAGGTACCCTCCCAGCCGATGAGCTTCTTGGAGATGAGCCCACTGGGATCCTTGGACCGGACGAACTGGTAGATGGAGTCGCGGTTCAAAGAGGGGGCGTTTCGGCAACTGCCGCTCTCCAGGTGGTGTGTCATACCCGTGGCGGTGGTGTAGCTGTTGGGGCAGAAGGGACACTTGATTTCTTGGCCACGGTGGGTGCGGGAGTTGAGGTGCTATGTGACGTGATATCAATTAGTCCAAGTTTGGAGTTTGACTTGATGGATTTCGGTTGCCGACCCCTTGAAGACTTGCTGGGTTGGTCTGTCGTCATATACATACCTGCTTGATATTGTTGATGCTTTGGAAGAAGCGATCACACTCTCGGCAGAAGAAGTGAGCCTCAACTTCGTGCTTGGTGCGGGCATCTTCGGTGACGAAAAGGCGTCCACAATCATCACACTCGTAGCGAGAGTGACCCTTGATCCTCGCATGTTCTAAGAGCTTTTATTCCTTGCGGAAGGCTGAGGAGCAGACGTAGCACCCAAAACCATCAGTGCCAGGATAGTGATCCTCCCACTCGCAGTGGTCGTAGAGATCATCCTCATCGTAGAAGCCCGAAGTGCAGTCTGCGCACCAAAAAACTTTGCGATAGACAGTCATGTTGGCAATATCGAGCGGATATGGTAGGCTGAGGGGAGAGAAGAGTATGGCGAGGTTTCTCGACGACGTGGCGATTCAGTAAGAGTGATTGTTTCCACAACGAAAATGTCGAATTTGGTATCAGGACCGTCGCTGGTGCCGATCTACCAAAGGGTCTAAAACACGAAGGAAACGTTGAGAAGAACAACGACGAGGTCCTTGATCCTTAGAAGGACAATCAAATGGACTCTTTCGCGGGGAAGGTGACTGGGGAGGGTGTTCCTTTCCTAGGTATCAAAATAAAAAGGAAAGGAGTGTTAATCACTTTCAGAGGTCGTTTGTCAACACCGAAAGCGGTGGGCCTCCCGCATGGGCATGGATAACCAGGGTGGGGCATCACTTTTTCCACATGTTACAGATCATAAACTCTAACGGTAACCAACATCAAAGAGGAAGGAAGGGGATTCCTTGCTTCGTGAACAGGCCCCGCATCTGACCGTCACCCCGCCGGCACATCCATTCGCAGCCTACCTCTAGGTACCTACCTACTTACCAAGCAAGCTTTACTAGCAACCATTGTAGCTGCCGAAATGCTTGCAACCACCAGACATATCATGATCTGAAGGTTCGTCAGTCCACAGTAGGCAAAGGGAACGTAAGTAAGCTCTTTGCAAGGTACCTCTAGCGATGATAGAGCTCATCGATCTCTTCCAATGTTCATTCATACTGTGACTGCCGCGTGGAGCCAGTCACTCTTCCCTTCCCTTGCAACTATATACATGTACAACATTAACACATTCGTCGTTCCCAAAAATTCATCGTACAAACCGTCCTAGCTATGTTCCAAGCCCAGGAGTGACGAAACACCAATATCTTTCGGTGTCGACGTCCCAAGTGGTATCTCCATCATAAACAATCTACCCAACCATCCCTATCCATCCAATCCCATCCCAGATTAGTGATCTTCAAATGGCATATTTCAGCAACATTGAAAGATCGAAGAAGAGACAAAAAAAACCCGAACCCAGCCAACCCGCGAAAGTCCTGTTAAAGAAACTCCTTTTTATCATGCCCCGAACCCATACCCACAGACCTAAAGAACCACTTTCAAGCCTCTTTAACCGTTTTTCCCGATCCGCCCTCCACCGGCCTGATATCATCACTACCGACCCCGCTGGCGCTAAAGCTTCCCTTTTCCGGCACCATACCCGCGGGCGCGCCCTCTTTGGAAAGCGCCACGCCGGTAGGCAAGCCCTCGACAGCCTGGTCATCGATATCCTCAAACTCATAAGGGATCACCAAGTTCAGAAACATGGTGAACAGCGCGGTAACGGCGAAGCCGGTCTCCATGATGAGCTCGATGGCGTCCAGGAAACCCTGAAGCGACTTGTTGTCGCCCTTGTAGGTGAAGAAGGTGGCAAAGTAGGTGGGCACGAGCGTGGCGCCGTAGCCGAGAGCCAGACCGGCGGTCAGCACGAAGCGGTTGCGGCGGTTGAATGGCACACCGCGGGCGATAATGGCGATACCTGAGACGGCAACGGAGGTGAAGAGGAAGGTGGTCATTCCGCCGATGACGGAGGAGGGGATAGCGACGAGGGAGGCGGCGAATTTGGAGAAGACGCCCATGATGATGAGGAAGAAGCAGCAGCAGAAACCAGCGGTTCGGTTGGCACATCGGGTCAAGGCAATGACACCGTTGTTTTGTGCGAAAGTCGTCATGGGCGTGATGGTGCACAGAGCGGCGAGGATACCGTTGATGCCGTCCGCCAACACACCGCCCTGGACACGGCTCTCGTAGATCTCACCCTCGACCTCCAGACGGGACACATCGCAGGTGGCAGTGATGTCACCGACGGCCTCGCAGGCGCAGACAAGGTAAACGGCTAGTAAGGGCAATACGAGTGGACCGTACACCGTGAGCTTGAAGGTATGTACCCACATAAAGGAGGCGACAGGAGCGGCGTCAATGCTGGAGCGGTCAAAGTAGCCGCAGGCAGCAGCGACGATGCAGCCGACGAGCAGACCGAGAATGACGCTCGTGGATTTCATGATGGGGGAACCGAACCGCTCACAGAAGATGATGGTGACGAAGACGAGGAAGCCCAGACCCAAGTACTCGGCCGAGCCCCAGGGAAGAGCGTGAGGGGCGCCAACATTGGGGCACACCACGTACTCGGGAAGGGGGTTGGCGGCCGCGCAAGAGCCAGAACCGCCAGCCCAGTTCTGGAAGCCAGACTGGATGAGGCTGATGCCGATGAGCATGACGGTGGGGCCAGTGACGATGGGCGGGAACATGCGCAGCATGTACTTGGGCGGCAGGAAGGAGAGCAGGACTTCAAGCAAGGCGCAGACAGCAGCTGTGCCGAGGATGGCTCCGTAGCCGTCGGGGCAGGGCAGGCGAGTGCCGTCTGCGGCGGTGGGGCACATGCCGTTGGCGTACATCTGGTTGAAGGTCCCGGTGGCAACGGGGATGATGGCGAAGGAGATGCCGACGACGGAGATTAGGCCCGTTCCAATGTAGTAGGGCGTCTTCAGGATACGGAATCGGGCTATTTGAATGCAGGACAGCAGGCCAGAGACAATGAGGGCGCTCGAAACGAGGTATTGCGATTGTTCAGCGGTGAAGTTGGCACCACCTCCTCCGGCAAGAATGATGGGAGGAGTGATGATGCCAGCCAACATGGCGAGTGAATGCTGGAAACCAAGGATAAGGGCGAGGAGGACGGGCATCCTGTCGTTGAGGCCGAAGAAGACGGCGGGCTTGTTGATCTTTCTCATGAAGGGCAGGTTGGGCCTGAAGAGAAAGCCATAGTCGTAGTCGCCTAGCCATCCCTCCTTGGTGAGAAAGGTGTGGGCGAGGGTTCGTGTGAAGCCAGTCACTCGGTCGCCGATGGTCCTCTTTGGCATCGCATGAGGAGCGATGTGGGAGGGACCCTGGTCCTCATCCATGGTTGCGGTTTGTTGTGATGAGGGTGTCAAAGTCTCAATGGGTTGTCAAAAGGGGTCTGATTGTCGATGGAAATGGTGATGATAGAGGATGACTCGAAGTCGAAGGTGCCCGGGCCGACGTTGAGCCAATTAAAGACGGCAACTAACAACAGCAACGATGAGATGAACCGAGGATGGAGGATGATGGGACTGTGGCACCGCGATGGTGATATATCGTTCCTGGTAGACTGTACGATGGCCGGAGAAGGGGGGCAACCAACAATAAGCCGTCCAGACGGGCGCGGTGCCCCCCTCCGAATCTTCGAAAGAAGGACGAAGACGGATTGTCTCGCCGCCGTGGCTTGCGTAAAATACTTTTGTCGAGTATCCGCTCCTAACGGTTACGGGGTGCCAAGGCTGAGGTGGATTCCCCCAAAGGAGATCTTATCGGCGGCTGGCTCCACTCAGCTACCCACCCGTCAGGGGCGGACATGCCCCCGAGTGGCCACACTCCAGATAAGCAATCCCCAATCAACGCTAAAACACCAACGCTAACCTCGGTTTAGGCAGTGTTGCGGCCGCTGATAGGGACGGCGATAGTTCGACTACCATAGGTAAGTGTAAGTGATATCATTGATAAGTGCCATATTGCCTGCTTTACCTAATTCCTGCTTCTCACCAATCTGGCACTCCTCAAATGCGAGTTTCCAAATCGGTGACGGGATCCTCTCAGCTGGAAATCATCAACACCAAGCAAGTGATACTTCCCCGGATCCAGCCGACGGATGAGTCCAGCAACCCGGCGACGTCCCCATCGTTCAAATCTTTAGCCTCATTACAGTTGCAAGTCGGCCAAGTCCATGTTCCCAAACGACGGGCCCAAGGCAACGTGGTGTGGACAATAGGCGAGAGGCGAGACGGCTCTGAGCGCAAGGGTCCTTCCCTATTGAATTCGGCGGAATCCAACCAACGAGTGTAACGATACTTTCATGTCGCCTCATCGCCGTCGTCTTCGTCCTCTTCGTCGTCGTCTTCGTCGTCGTCTGGGATGGTGTTGAGCTTTCGTTCCCAGGCATCACGAAGAGCCGTAGGAAATCCCCGATACCGCTCTCGCCACCCGGACGGCTCCTTCGACAGCTTCATTAACATAGTGATCAGGTACCTATGTAGGTAATCATGCATTGATCTTACCAGAATTTTCCTCTCTCCAGACATCCAGTCTTAACACCTTTTCCATGTCAACATGACCAATACCACTGATGTGCCAGCAAGAACAACAAGTGAACGGTCTCGACCTTCATTCAGCTTTCGTCCAGTCCCGATGTAACTTTCAATTCCCAATTGAGTCCCAAGGGCGCCCTTCCAACTCCATCTACCACGCGATTCCTTACCATATGCACCCACCATATGCAAAAAAGCGTGGGGGGCATGGTAGGTACATTGGCGCATTGTGGGGAAATCGTCATCTCATCAGCCATTCAACCACTCCCTTTCTCCTCGACCCGTTCAGCTCCTCGGCCAAAAGCGAACGAAGTCGCAGACTGCAGCCCCGGACAAAACCAGAAGGGTGGGAGACCTTACTCCAAAAACGAGCGAACAAATTAGGGTCCGGGTTCAAATCAGAAGGAAGCCCAGCTCCCAGGTACCTTATTCCAACATCGTCGTTGGATAGAGATAAGCCAACCCCAGCCAACTCGGCACTGAGACGAGGTGATTGGTCGATCGATTTGGGTACCTAACTAACCCGTTTCAACAGGGCTTGGCCTGGGCCTTCCATCCTCTCCTGTACACTATCTCAGTCAAGTCTTTGGGTGTAGGTAGGGTATCTAAAGGTACATAGTTACCATTGCTACACTAGATTTAAGTACGCCCGGCATGTGGCGGACAGCCGAGATCGGGGGGCGTTCGGATGTCTCCGATGTCCTATCCTGCCATATCAGCACTTGTCTGTGTGTGGGTGTTTCTTTGCTTTCAGTTGGGAGTGACTTTGCAATCGGGGTTTTCATTTTTTTTTTTTTTTTTTCCCTAAGCAGCTTCGTCGACTGTTTTGATCAAGCTGTGAGGCCTATTGAAGCATGGATAATTGAACAAAGAGAATCTCTTATCATTTTATGATGGTATCCTTGACTGGACGCAAAGCTTTTTCGATGTCAATTCTTTGTTGCATAAACGCGAGTCTTCTTGGGGAGCTCATTTGCAAACTTCAATATCCGCCATATTTTCCTTTGACCTTCTGCTCTGCTTAGTGATTGATACTTTGGTGGGTCAGGTCAGAAAAGGTCCTCAAGTCAAGTGGAAGGGAAGGATTGAAACATTTATGCATTATACATTACTACTACCTGGTACATCGAGGTCTTTTGGGAGTTGGTGGCCGTGGAAAAGCTGGAGCCTCCCGTTTGTGTACATGATTCTTTGAATTTTCCCCAGCCAGAACACTGTCAGTGGGTGCCATCTCTCCTTTCTTCCCACCGGCCTGGTCTCAATTGAACTTGCCCTGGCTGACTTGGCAATTGTAAAAAAACAGAACCCAAAGCTACCGCTCACAATGGTGTAGTAAGTGGCAGCCCTTGACAGAGATTTAACCATAGACCTAGTACAGTGTACGCAATTTGGAACCTCCCTGGCTTACTCTGCTTGTTATTCAGGGGGCGCGGCCCCATTTTCACTATGCGCCTGCTCGGCATCTTTCTCCTTCTTGCCATTCTGGGAAGCCTCGATCTCCTTCTCACCCTCCTTTTGGCACACATCAAGTGCCGGAGCCTGAAACTGCTTCTCATACTCGTCAAGAGCCAATTGCCAACGAATTTCTTCCGACAGAAGGAAGTGCGCTTCGTTCTTGCACACAAATTCTCTCAACTCTTTCATCCCCTTGCTATAGAGCTTGAGCTCAGCGAGATATTCTCGGTACATTTTTCGAATATGCTGAACTTGATACACAAAGAGAATCCTCTTTTGTTTCTCCTCAAAGCCCGCCGTAAGCTGCCGCCATGCCCTCCACATAAGCTCGCATAATTGGTCAGTGTCCTTCCGTTTGATCTCGAACGGATTTGCTGCTGCCCACTCACACATCTTCTCTGGCATTTCGTTGATTTCAAAGAAGTTGTCGAGTGTGGAGACGACGTCCGGAAGGAGGTAGTCTGTCACGAGTCGATCGTACTCTTTCTCTATTTCGAACCGATCGAGGAACGAACCCCTGCGCTGCCAGATCTCGTGAAGTAATAGCAGGGCGTGCTCTCTCTTGATCCCTGACATGGAGTCGTTGTCCGCAGTTTTGTATATGACTGCTTTCGCTTCCTCAAATGTCTTTGCCTTTGTAATCTCAGACGTCGAGTATGCGGTCTCGGCTACTCTCTGCCAGTCCAGCCATAGCGAGGCGTCTGCGAGGGCAAATTGCTCATGCATGACTTTGAGGTCAATGGGATTGTCCACCCAACGGTAGGCTTCATCGAACGGGTGACCCAACGTCTTCTCACGCTGATATGTAACGGCACCAAATAGGTTGACGCCAACCGAGTCCTTATCCTGAGTTTGGCAGCAAATGTGGAGATACCATTTGAGCAGTAACATGTATCCTGCGACGTAATGCTCAAATAAAGTGCTGCCTATTCTCTCTTGTGGTTTTTGAGCAAGCAGTATGACAACTTCCAAAAAGCCACGAGCTAAGGCCGAGCTAGTAACCTCCAGTTGCAAGGGTGAATCACGGCCCCAGGGGCTCAATACAGCCGGAAGTTTCTGTGATTCGTGCAGAATTCTTTTGAGCTGACCGGGATTGTTGTTCCACAGACTGTTGTGAAGTGTGAGGCTAAAGGGACTCCTGATCGTCAGATGTCTTGTCTTGGTAACAGCAGGCCGCGAGTCCTGGTGCAAGAGAAAATTCATGATCTCTTTCCGCTGGATTGGAGTTCCGATCTTCTTGAACCGCCATTTCGAATTTGGCTCGGTCGGGTTTACTGGAGCAGCTTGGAGCACCAGTTCTCTTCGCTTTCTAAGGTTGCGCATGAGGGCGGCGGCATATTCCGCCGATGGCTGCAGGAAGAGACCGGGAGAAAGCTGTGGTTCCACGAAGGAAAATGTCTCGTGAGGAACTGTCGTCGCGTACGCATCAGCATCCGAGCATTAGAACGCAGAAACGAGACAGGAGATAAGAGACTCGGCTCTGGAATGTTCACGTACCGAAGCGCGTCCAGATCATCTTCTCGGCCAGCCAGGAGCAGTATGATTCTGAGATAGCGGGCGGCGCCTTGTTGGAAGCCACCAGTTGTCGGAGTACCTCTTTCTTAGCAAGGTCGAAGAGAGCTCCAACGCCATCCGGATTCAGTCTGGCGTTCTCTGCCACGAGTTTGAGGACAATCTGACTGCGTCGTTCCTGATCAGGACAGGCAATAGGAGCCAAAGATGGGGCTGGTAATGCCTTGTTGGAGGCATCTGGAGCCGACATTGTTCTGAGCAAATTAACGACCGACAGTAGAAGTTTGTTGTTGATTCTTGCGAGGTTTATGGGTGAAGCTGACCACAAAAATCAGAATTGCTTTTGGTTGAAGAACGGAAAATAAGTGCTGGAAGTGGAATCGAAACAAAGAAAGGCTTGGTTCGATCGATGACCCCTTGAGGAAAATTCAGCAACGAAGGAAGGTGTGACGGTGTGGAAGAAATTTGAGCCACTGAACTGCGCGGCACGCCTGAGCCCGCCGCGTCATTAAGAGCAGGTACGGTTTCCTAATCGCGTCTGAGCACAGTTAGGTATGGCGCGTCACGAGTGGCGACCTCAAACGGAGAAGGAGATATCTCTTGATTGCCGCCACTTGCCAACCAGGTGCAACTCAATAAGGAGACCTACTTACCTGACTTGAGCTTGACTAGATTTCCACTTCCAGGTGAATGAAACGAACATTATCGACCACCCACCATTCAACCGTGGTTCAGTCACCATTAAGTCAGCACCGACGATAAAGCCTCTCGCTTTCGCGCCTCATCATCGCGCGTTGGAACCAGGCGCTTCTGTTCGCTTTCTCTCAAAAGTCTATACCCCACGAGTGCGCTTCTTAGCAAAGCACCGTCGCCGTCCAGGGAGCTGAAAACCCAGGCGTGATGTAGGTGTGCACTCATTTGACCATCTCGAGGCATTTCCCTGGAATATTGTGGCTTCAACAGGCCCACTGACAATGGCATCTTCGCAACACATTCAGCTCGCACACAAAAATCTAACCAAAGTTGCTTCTACGACGATGAACCTCAAGCGAGACCTGTCCGCGTTCCACCAGGGACAACAGAACACCCAGGGCTCTGCCGACCACCAAAAAGAGGATTCCATTAGTCGGCCGAAGAAAGTGGCCAAGATCGTCAACACCGAACCCACAGACAAGCCTAACGGAGGTGCACAGAGCCAGAAACTAAAAGAGTTTGTTAATCCAAAACCAAGTGGGATACACTTGGCCTTTTCTCTGGAACAAGCTCCGCATGTTAAGTCGCCTGGTGGTGCTGCATGTGTCAACTGCGGAGGAAATGACCATATGGCATCCCGTTGTATCGGCCCATGGGATCCGGTTAGCGGGACGATCAAAGTCTGCGTGCTGTGCAACGATGCTTCCCACGGGCTCGATAACTGTTCAGTCCTCGCAAAGCGCAGTGCGTCAGACCAAAGATTCGTCTTGAGCAGATATCTGATCATCTACCGTGGCGGGCGTCCTCCCATCGAGTCGAGTGTCTGCTGGGTCGACTTGCTAAGCTCTACAGAGTACAAAGAAGTGTTGGCCAAGCATTCGTCGGAGAAGGGCGACAAGCTCTATCCTTGGACAAGAGCGTTCGCAATCAGTCAACACACAAACAAATTGTGGAAGCGCTACAGCTATTCTCAAGGAGATGACTCAAAAAGGACGTGGTGGCCCGAGGACCCCAAGACTAACTCGGAGGCTGAAGTCCAGAAGAACATCTAGTTACTCAAACAGACTGAGTCCGCGTCCGTTTTGAAAGCAGCGGCCCGTCAAAAGATGATGGAGAGCGAGTCAGAGAGGGAGTGGGAGTTGACTGCAGCCGGCCTGAAAGCGTGGCCTGACATCTTCAAGATTGCTCCAAAGTTGAAGGCTTTTATTGAGAAGGAAGACAATTGAGTGTGTAAGAGATCCTGGCATTTGGAGCCATACGCGGGGGAATTTGCACCACGTACTTTAACCGAAGGGGAGAAAGCTCACACCAAGATTTGACGAACGTTTGAGCAGAATTTGCGGTGCAAGTATGACTCAAGTCGTGTCACAAATGGATTGAATAGGATGTAAGCATGTGGTGTCGTGAGTATAGGAAGCGAACAACGGTCGAGACTCGAGATAGTGGAGGGACAAAGAGAGCAAAACCCACCCAAGGAGCTGCTCAAAACAACCTTTTCAGGGGTTCCCTTGCAAGCTAAATAAGCTGTAGAGAAGTTCGGAAAAGCCGGTAACAATTTGCTTGAGAGAGTTAGGTGGTACTGTACATAGTTAGTTGTAAAATAACTTGCTGTTTCGTGTGTTCTCATCGAGTGTCTCATGGGATCCATGGATGGGTGTAATAAGAAATGGATGGGTGAACCCATGCTTCATCCTGTGTGTCAGTGGCTACTGTATACTTAGGTGGCAGATCCAGAGGTTATTCTCAACAAGGCCCTATGGCGCAACGGTAGCGCGTTCGACTCCAGATCGAAAGGTTATCCGTTCAAATCGGGTTGGGGTCAACTTCTATTTTTTGCGAGTTTTTCCTCGTCATTAATGCTCGCCACACTTGTTTTGCTAGTTTGGTCTTCTTTTTATCTTTTTAATTTTTCTTTTAAATCCTACGTTGCAGTGATACATACCGACACGGACGTCTAGGTATTAACCTTACGATAATAAGTTGCAAGAAATTAGGGTGGCTTTTATGCTGGAGCTAATACGCTATGTTATAGGAACTGGTTGCTACAATTAGGGGTCGATCGGTAATACTTGTAAGCGGTTAAGTAAAGTAATTTTAGTAAAAGTAGTGTAAAAATAAAAAGTCTTACTACATTTATAGGTTATATGATATTTTTTACTATTTTTTTGCCTACTAAAACGAGTAGGGTAGTAAAAATTAGTTAAGATTTTTTATTAGAATTGTTGAAATCCATAGAAAAATATAATTACATAGATAAATATCAACTAGTCTTTTCATAGCGTTTATTTACTTACTTCCTAATATAATAATTCATTTACTTATTTAATCCTTCTATTCTATTGTATTATTGTTTAGTATATTATTAAATAAATATTCCTTAATTTCTATTAAATATACCTCTCTCTCCTCGTAAATTAGTATAGAAAAAGAACTATCCAAATAGTATAAATACTTCCCGTTCATAAAGATAAAGGTAGCTTAATTTATCCGCTCCCCTAACAATTAATTACATATAGGTAACTCTAGAAAATTTATTACTAAAAAGGTTCGTTTATAAGGGATACTATTCGCTACTATATTAAATACTCTTACTATAAATAGTATTATAACAAATTAATAATCTATTATATATACTTAAAATTACTTAAGTTCAAAATTAAACCCCCAAACTTAAACATACAGTGCGTACATCCCCTTATAGATTCTAAAGTTAAAGAAGTCTTTAATAATTTATACAATTAGTACGTTAAAGCAATAACTATACTATTAAAGGAAAGTAATAGCCATTACCTAAATACTTAAAATAAGTGGGCGAATAGCTTTAATTACCTCTACTATAGTAAAAGGTAGTAAAAGAAACCCTAACTAATTTAGAGGATTTAATTATTTAGTCCTTCTAACTACGTAGAATCGCTCGAATTCCTACTATTTAATAAAAGGTATAGAATATTAATACTATTACTATACCCCCTATATTTTAATTTACCTCTTAATAACGTAGCTAATGTATATTTAATCTACCCTAAAAGCGAATTGAACTTTATAAAGTAGTAAGAGGAAACGCTCAAACTTCTCGATATTATTCTAAAATTATATACTTTTAATAATATTAAGTATTTAATTATAATGTATAAGTATAGTACTTTCGTCTTATACGCCCGGCGTATTATAATACTAATTGTAGAACCGGGCTTACATAGTAAATATTTATAAAGCGAACTTTAATTTCTTAATTGAAATAATAGATCTATATTATAATCCCTATTGAATAATTATATTAATTTAATTAATCTATTATACTAAATAAACAATAACGAAATAGTGATAAACTTATTTAATTAATAAGGAAATAATTTAATTATAATAAAATAATATTACGGGTTGTAAACAGGATAGTTATAATTTTAATACCCGGAAGTAGTTAATTTAATTAACTTTCTAAATAATATTTTCAAAAGTAGGGATATTGAGTATATCTTTTATAAATAGTTAGAGGGAGTAAGAGTCGTAGAGAATTGCAAAGGCAAATTTAAAGCAGTTATTAATAATTAAATCTTAAGTAGCGTACTATATTATATTACAAATATTAGTAGTGAACGTATTTATCTTACCTATTTAACCCCCTACTATATTAATAATAACCTTACTAATAATAGTAGTAAGGTTAGTAGAGGTATATTTAATAATACTAGTATCTTTATTAGTCTAGAAGAACGATAGACCGTTAGGTATAGTGAAAGAAATATTAATAATACGACGACTAATATAATTATTAAATTTATTAAAGAAGATATTAATATGCTAAATAGGTTCGATAAAAGTAGACTTCAATTACTATTTTATAGAATTATAAACTTTAAGTAATTATTTATTGCGTATCGCTACTATAGTCGGCGGGGTATAGAGGGGGATAAGGGAGTAGAGAAATACCCTTATAGGATTGCTTTTAAAGAGGGTAAATCCCCTACTATCGAGAAGGATAACCTCGGCGGCGTAGAGGTCGATTTTCTCCTTCTATTAGTCAGTTAATATAAGGGCGTACCGCTATATATCCTCGTATTAATTAACTTATTATTATATACAATTAAAGGTATACCCCTTTATTACGAACTTAAGCGACGTAGGGGCCGCCTAAGTCGCCGGGACCCGATAGCCCCGCCTAAGGATAATAGTATAACCCTTAGAAACTAAATTGATTAGGAAGGGCGCGTAAATATACACGGGCTTACTAAATATACTAACTTACTAATAAATTAGGGTTTATAGTAAGCCGATATTTATTAGTAAACTAAGGCTTATAGTGAGTTAATACTATTAGTAAGCTATTATTATAATAGATATTTAAGAATTAAGGAGTTAGGAATAAATACGGGAGTATATAGGGACGATTGGAGAATTTAGATTATTAAATAGTTTAATAATAATTAATATAATTTAATTATTATTATTAAAATTAGTATTACGAATATATTTATTATAAACCCTTTGGCTTTACCGAATAACTTTAATAATTCTTACTTTTAATTATTTTATTTAAATAAATTAAATTACCATTCGTTATACGTTAATTATTCCCTTTGGCCTATTTTAGATAGTAATTAAAAGTACTTCTTTACTTTACTATATCTACTATTAGAAATAATAACGACCCTATTTACTAGGGTAACCCTACGAACCTCGCTATTATATACTAATAGTTTAAAGTTATATAGAATTATATCCGCTAATTTAAGGCTTAATTCGAAGTAGGATCTAGTATTCCTGAAGCGAAAATAGGAGAGGATATTCCGTTTATTAACCGCCTCAAATTTAAATTAGCTGTATTTAAGGAGTATAATAGATAGTAGTTTACTTTTATAGGATTTTTAATTTAAATATAAACCTATTTTTACTTTTATAGAAATTAATTTAACTTTGAATTTAATAAGGTAGTTTATATAGGGATTAAGTTAGTAGATAGGGCCTTTACTTAGTACGAACCTATCCTTAAAAATTTCTACAAAAATAAGGATTATATTTCAGACTTTAATAAAAAGATTTTAGGTAATTATAATAAATTTATTAAGGCCTTTATTTAAATTTTTAGAGAAAAAGATAAAACTTATTAAATTTAAAAACGTTTAATTTAATTTCAATAGACTAAATTTACCTTAACCTATATTACATTCTTTAAATAGGATACTTTTTATAATAATATTAACGACGACGGGCTAATATAATTGTTTTATACTAGCCTTAAGGAAAGAATTAAAAATAAGCTCTATAAGGAAGACCGTCCTAAAACTATTAATATATATATTAATATAACTATTCGTATTAATAATCGGCTATTCTAACGGGAGTAGGAAAGGAAAGGAAGAGTAATTCCCTTTATTCCTTCTAAAATTTACTATACTAATATTAAAAAAAAAGAATTTGGGGAATTTATTTTTCAAGAACTATTTACTTAGGACTTATAGAAATCGATATAGTTTAAATTAATTAAAATAAATAAGACCTTTTGAAGGTTAAATACTTTAATTATAATAAAATTAGGTATATAAAGAAAGATTACTATACGTTTAAATAATTAAATTAAAGGAAAATGGAAATTATTCTAGTAGAAGGAGTTAGGGTAATTAAAATTGCTAATACCGAATATAGTTAAAATAATTTAGAAAACGCTATAAATAGAACTATAAATTTCAATTAGGAAGCTTAGTAGGAGGTTAATAATAAATATAAATAGGAAGGATTTAATAAAAAGGATTTTAAAAAGGAGGTATAGGATAATAATATACTTTAAGTACGGACGTACCGAACCCTAATATAGGAAGAAATTAATAACTTCCCCAATACCGACCGAATTCTCTTTATAATTATATATATAATAAATATTATTCTACTATTAATTTTACCCCTAGCGTTTATACCCAAAGGATTTAATAATTATAAATTCATTAATTTATATTAATGTAACTACCCTGATTAGGCCGTTAAAAAATATTAGATAGAACTATAGTAATTCTATTTAAATAAGAACGGAAAGAACGAAAAATAGGAAGCCTTTTAGAAGAAACGAGTAATTATTATTAAAGGGAAATTGTAAGCTATTTGGGAGTAAATTTTAGAGCTTTTTAAAGTATATTAATTAGTTATAAGAGATATTATATAAATATACCCCTTTTATGTCGCCTATTATTAAATAGTATAGTTTTAGTACGTTATTTATAATTATTCCAAATAT